GAAACTCGATCAGAGTCCCCAGTGACCCCTAGACCTGTGGTTTCCTAGGTCATTTCAGTTCCTGCTAAGAGCAACGGCTAAGAGCCGTGGTGGTGATCGCCTCGAGCATGGCCCTCATCTCCCGTCTCAGCCACAGCAGTGCAAGGAGGTAGTTCCTATTATTCTTCCCACTTTGTAGGAGAAACTCGCAGCGTGGCTGGGGAACTTGCTGGAAGCGGCAACCCTGGCAGGTAGTTCTGGGGCCAGCACCCCCAGCCCCGAGGCATCACCCCCATGTCATCACTCCCTGCACTGAACAGCATCCCCTTTCCTATTGCTTTTGATGATTTTCTAAGGCTTTGTAGAGGAGAGAGTGGCTTTATCCTTGCTGTTTAGAGAAGACCCTGAGATACAGAGACATCGCACGATAGATGCTAAGACAGGGCCCACACTTGAGGCGTTTTCACGCGTCTGGAGCTAATGCAGAAAGGTTTTGCAATGTAGCTTGTGTGTGTGTGACTAAGTGTTATTTAACCTACAGGAATGAACCTTTTCTGCAAAGTGTCCTTCCTTCTGTTAAATTTCCCTTTTATGAAATTATATAGGCAGGGTTGGTAATTGTTGCTTTATTTGATGTCGCATTTGGGCAAAATAAAAGGCTGGCAGCCCTCACGTCTGATCTGAAATCCTAGCTGATCATGGGGTCTCAGTTTCCACCTTTGGCCGGGAGTCCCAGGGCTTCATGAGCAGCTCACCACACCTCGGAGCCCACCGCCTCCCCCTAGGTGGGAGATGCCCTTTGTCACTGTGGAAGAAGGGGGTTCAGGGAGTGTCCCGGGCCTGTGCTGACCAGCCTGCCGAGGATGTGCAGAGGGAGCACCGGCCTCTCTGGTCAGGGGGTGCGGTGCCCCCCCAACTCTCTGTCCCAAACTTTCCTCAGCCTGCGTGGCCCCCTCCCTGAACCTCCACTTGCCTGTTTGGAGGGGGCGGAAATCAAACAAGAATCTGCCCACCACCCACTTTTGTTCATTATCCCTTGGGAGGTCAAAATCCATGACTCAGGGGCCTCCCCAGTGGCACAGCGGTTGAGCACTGGGTTGAGAAGCTGCCCGCAGCCTCTGCAGCGCTGGTTCGATCCCCGGCTGCTCCCCGGCCACCGGAGGAGGGTCCCACATGGCGCGCAGACCTCTCCTGCCGCCCGCTGCTCCCCTCAGCAGTGTACTTCGGTCCTTCTGCCTGCTCTGCTCCCCGCTCTGGCTCTGGTGAATTCTCTCACCCTCCCGCGCTTCTGACTGTACCCAGTGCTTGTATAAATAAATAAATAAATCTTTTATAAATAAATAAATAAATAAATAAAAATCCATGACTCAGGCACCTGTGATTTGCTTTGAGGATTTTCCATGAAATCGCAGAGGCCCCACTCTCCTGATTTGGCTGGATTCCAGGCCGACCCAAACCAGATCTATTCAAACCAGAAAAAAATCAGGCCCAAGTGCCGGGAGGTAGTTTGTGGAGGATGAAGGGGTCTGTTTCTGGTGAAGGGAAATACCCCCGTGGTCCCTGTGCTTCTGCCGATGCTCCGCGGCCTGCCCTCCGGGGTTGGGTGGGAGACAGCGTCTCTCCTGCCCACTGACATGGGCACTGATAGCGACGGCCAAGAAAAGGAGAAACTCAGGCTTGAAAAATCTCTTTTCTCCTCAATCAGGAGTTGTGATAAGACCACAGTCAGATGAGAGGATGTCAGGGGCTCAGGGCCCTGGGGTTGATTTCCAGGACCTGAGGCTCCCCGCCCTGGGAAGGCCCAGGGTGAGCAAACCAGGAAAGGGACAGGCTGGCAGGTAACGCGCGAGTGACGGGGAGTCGACGGGGCACAACTTCTCTCAGGACAGGCTGCGAGATGGGAGGACACTGGCGTCTCCTCAGAGGATGCTCAAGAAAAGAAGAGACATGTCTGCTGGGAGAGGCACCTTCAGCTCCCTGGACTGGCCACCCTGCCAGTGTCTGAAGAGAGGACAGTGCGCAGAAAGGCTGCTTGTGTGGCTGGGCACATCTCTGTCCTGCTTCTCCAGATTCTTGGGGTTTGTTTAGATGCTTCCATCACCAGAGCCCAGTTTCCCAGGATAAACTCCCACCCTGGTCTGCGTCAGCCCAGGCCCACACTGGCCCTGCCGTCCCGCCCACCACCAGCTCCTCGCAGCCTCCCTCCACATGCCCGCCTGCTCCTGCCCCAGGAGTTCTGCCCAGGAGCCCAGCGCCGCAAGGGAGCAAGAGTGGAGCTTGTTCTAGGACACCATTCGGGGGCTCGAGCTCTGAGGTTGACAGGTGCCAGCGCGGCCAGAGGCCAGAGCCTCGGCAGGAGGCCTGCAGCGGGAACAGACGGGTTCCAGGCACCCTGCAGGTGGGGTGAGCCCGGCCAGTGCCTGAGATCCTGAGGCCCAAGCTTCAGAGGAGGGAGCGTGGCAGACGCTCCTGCGGGGACTGGGCAGCGAGCCTGCAGGGCATCAGGGTGTGGTGGAAACGCACAGCAGCAGGCTGGCAGGAGCGAGGTTCCCACGCCAGCAGCAGGATGGCCGTGTGGAGAGTGTGGGCTTTAGGGAGACAGACCCATGGAAGCTTGGCTCTGTGTACTGACTTCGTGGGTCCAGGGCTGAGCATCAGAGCTGATGCCCGTGACATGCCCGGCCCAGGAGGTTCTGGCCCCTGGAGGTGCTCAAAAACCTGTTTCCACTCCCTCCTCTTAGACCCGCATCTGCTACTCAGATCTGAAGTGTGGGAAGGGCCAGGGGATCAGGTTTCACAGGTGGAGACAAGCAGCTGAGCCGTGGTCAAGGTCAGGAGGACTCAGCCCCTCAATGGCCTTCCCTGGGTGCCTTGTGGAGGCCCCTTTTGCTCTCCATGCCTGGATGTCCTAAGGGTGACAGCCTCCACATCCACGGCCAGCCTGAGCCACACAGCAGCCCCTGGGAATCCCCCGCCATGCTGCAGCCCCCTGAGCAAGGGGCCCCAAGGACCAGCATCTAAGCACAGTGGCAGCTTGAGTCAGAGCCTGTGAGGGACGTGCCAGCACAGAGCACGCAGGGGACGGTGCTGGAAAGTACTAGTTAAGCTCCCCAAAGGGGAGCTAAGAAAAGGTCTCGGAAACATGGGGCACTGGGCAAGCCTCCAGGTCTTTCACCCCTGAGTTTGAGGAAAAGGCACATGTCCTGGCCCAATCCTCTCTCCCCTCCTCCCTTACCCTTGGCCAAGCCCAGTGCCTCTACCCCTGGGAGGCCCTGCCCTCACCCCTCAGCCCCATTTCAGGCCTAGTGCTCTCTCTGGTCAGTCTCTGTCTCCAGCCAAGAGAGCCCAGCATCGCCATCACACCTGGTGACTGGCCTCCTGAGCTTCAGTTCCTCTCTGTGGTCTGAGAGACCAGGCACGGGCAGCAGGGGGCCCTTTCCATTACGGGAGCCCATGTCAAGTGTCCTGGGCCCTGGGGCTGCCCGTTAGTCTTGTGCTCCTGTCTGGATTCAGCGTCTATGTTTGCACCTCATGTTTGCACCAGTTTTTCCTCTGCCTGCACCTTTCCCAAGGGGCTCCTTCTGCCTATAGGGCCAGAAGCTTCCAGAGTGCCAGGAGCGTAACTGAGGGGTGATCATTTTGCTTTTTCTTTCTCCTGCATCCTGTCTGCAGAGCATCACTGAGCTGTGGGGCGAAGACAGCAGCACAGGGGCCCGGGGTGAAGGCAGGACTCGGGGCCCATCACAGTGCCCCCCACCCTGGGGCTAGATCCCTTTCCTGCCCTTCACCTCTGCTCATGCCCCAGGCCCCACCACCACGCCGTGTCTCAGCAATTGGCCGTGGCATAAAAAGTCTAGGTTATTAAGCACGAGTTTGCTTTCTATGAGTGTTTTCTTTTTATGAGGCGTTAGTCCATCCCTGTGTCTCTGTCAGAGCTCACCCTGTCAATGGTAACCCCTCGATGCCACCTCCGCTCCCCTACCCCAAAACCTCGCTGCAGGTGCTAGGGTTTCAACCTCTCCTTCTCCCGACTCCATTCCTGCAGACTGCGCCGGGCACGACGCTCTCGCTACCCCCTACTTCCTGCATGGATACCTGTCAGCAGAGCCCTGCCTTCCTGCCAGGAGAAGCCAGTTCTCAGGAAGCAGCCAGGGTTCCTGTCAGGACCAGGACCATCCAGGACACAGACCAGGCACATACACCCTCCCTGCCTCACCTGCCTTCTCCCCAACTTTCTCCCAGCTCTGCTTCACACCCCGTCTCCCTGCATCCCCCGGGTGCCCCGCCCCCCTGGCATGTGCACCCCGAGAGCACCCAGAAGCACAGGCCGTGCGGGTGGAGCGCAGCGAGTGCCGTGTGTGTCTGCGCGCAGCACGCGGGGCCTGCTGGTGGGAGCAGGAGCAGAGGCCCACGCGCGCACCTGGACTACTCCGAGACCACGCCATCAGATCGTGCTGTTTATTGAGGATGCCATGGGGAGGTCTTTGGGAATAAAGGAGAGGTAGACGGTGCCCCCTCCTCTCTGCTGCGTGCGGGAGGGGCGGACAGACCCTGAGCTGTGCTTGGTTCCACTCAGAATGGGCGTGAGGCTGAGCCGGGGTGGGGTGGGGACCGACTGCTCTTGGCTGCTTGGTCTTCAGTTCTTCTTTCCTTGAACCCAGAGCCAGCACAGGCAGGAACCGGGTCAAAGCCCGCAGTGTGAGGAGGAAGCCTCATCTGAGATCCACGGGCCAGGCAGATTAGTCAGCAGCCGAGCCAGAGGACTGAAGACTGGTTGCCAGGGCTTGAGCCGGGGGCTCAGCGAGGAGGTGGGCACCAGCACGTTCAGGAAGGAACTTCACCGAGCTCAGCTGTCCACACCTGCCCAGGCTCAGGAAGGCACGGGCTGAGGGAGGAGGGCAGCCAAGGCCAGCAGGGTGGGGGTGAGGTTGACAGCAGGCTGGTGGGGCGGGGAAGCGGCTGACTGGGCTGGGAGAGCACATGTGGAGCAGGGGGTGGCGGACGGCATGGAGCAGTGTTCTCTACCGACTGGCTTTCTTGGAGGGGGCGCTCAGACTGGAGCCCTTCCCCAGGGTATCCTTGTAGTCGCTGGCACCGCCCCGGCTCCGGCCCTCCCCACCGCGGACGCTGCACACGCCAGAGATGCAGCTGGTGCTGTTGGCCACGTAGCCGCCGCTGACGGAGCTGGGCCGGAAGCCGTTGCCACTGGTGCTGCTGATGATGGCTGCAGGGTTGGGGGTGGGGGGTGAGAGAGAAAGAGAGAGTCAGCACCCCAGGCAGAGCGGCAGTGGGATCGGAGGAGGCTGCCCGTCCTCAGGACAGACTAGGGTTTTCTTGGACAATGGGTCAGATGGGGTCTCTGGCTGTAGCCACCCCAACCCCCAGGGAAAATACCCTAGAAAGAGCTCCCCATGCCCTTACCCTGCCTAATCCAGCTTTAACCAATCTGGATGGTTCTTAACTCTCAGATGTCCTGCTGTGCCAGGGGCCCAGGGGCCACTAAGGTCCCTCTTTTTTGCTAAGCTTCTTAGACTCCAACCTCTCCTGCTGTTAACTACCCATGGATGCACCTTTCAGAAGCTCAGATTTAACTCTCTCTGTACTGCTGAGAAGCCCAACGGTTCACATTGTGAGCTTGGCCTCCCAAGTTCCCGTTCACAGTTTACCTCAGCACCTTAATTCCTGGGCTCAGCACCACCCGCAAGGCTGGCTACCCAGGTCTCACACAACCATGATCGCTTTCTTGCCCAACATCCTCTGCTTCCCAGCCCTGCGGGGACAGCCTTCCTTGCTGCCATCCCCAGGCAAGAGGAGGCCGAGAGACAAGGAGGAGGCAGCCCTGGGCGGGCGTCAGGAGGCCTGATGGTTGCCCGTGACTGCCTGTGTGATCTCAGGCAGAGCTTTTTCCTCTCTGAGTCTGAGATGCTCATCTACACACACTGGGGATGACTAAGGCTGTTTCCAGTCGGAAAATCCTGCAATGTTTGGTGCAAGCAGATGAGTACTTACAGATGCTGACAGGGGAGGGAAATTCTCCTGACATCCTGTTAGGGAGAGAAATAAAATAAGAGTGAGCCGTCACTCTACCCATGGTTTATTAACTTCCATGACGGTGCCCTGACCAGCCTGACATGGGGTTCTGAATCCAACTGGCACCTCTGGAAATCCTGTGGCTTCATAGGCACAAGCAGAGTCTAAGAAGCTGTGGAGGCCACTCCTGAATCTTTGGGATAACCAAGCAACAACTCAAGTCGAAAAGCAGTTGGCATGAGGTGTTGTGGGGGTGACAAGGACACTTCCCCAGGTCAGGCCTAGACACTGAGCCTTTCTGACTCTCAAGAACTCTGGGGGCACTGGAGTGGCTGCCCTGGGCCTCCTCCGACAGGCCCGCACTGCACCAGGATGGGTGAAGAAGATGGACAAGAAGGCGTAACATAGTAATGGTGGGGCTTGGGGGACAAAGGGCCCAGCATCTGGGCCCAAGTTGTGAGCATTAAGTGAGCTAATCCACACAGCAAGGCCCTGGTGCGAAGCAAGCAATGACATCTGGGTGGGATTAATACTATTATTATTCCTTCCCGACCACCCCTTCCCTACCCAAGAACTCTTTTCTGGGTTAGGAGGTCTTAGCTTTCTCCGTTGGTCCTTCCCCAACCCTTCGCGCCCTCCTGCCAGAGCCGCCCGCACCTGCACTCCTCGCCCTCCAGCAGCTTGCGGTAGGTGGCAATCTCCATGTCCAGGGCCAGCTTCAGGCTCATGAGCTCCTGGTGCTCCCGCAGCATCCGGGCCAGCTCCTCCTTGCTCTGGTGCAGGGCACCCTCCAGTTCGTCCAGCTTGGCCCGGGCATCCTTCAGGGCGCTGTCCCCTCGCTGCTCGGCATCGGCGATGGCCGTCTCCAGGTTGGAGGCCTAAGGAGGATTTGGAGAAGTTGGGAAAATGGGAGGGGTCTGGAGTCACCACATCCAAATCCCACTGGTTCTTCCCGGCCTGAGCAGAGGCAGCAGCTCCACCTGTGCCACCCCTGCTCCTCTTCTAGGCTGGGATCCATCCTAGTGCTCGTAGGTCCTCCCTGAGCTCTGACCCACTGCCTTGGGCCCAGATGCTGGTGGTTATGAAAAACAGTGTGCGCTGCGCTCCTGCGATGACCTCGCCTGGCACCACGGCAGCGCGGGGCAAAGCCTCGCTGCGCTGCCGACAGTCAGGAGCTGGGCCTTCTGCTCTGCATGTTTAAAGTCTGGCAGGAGAGAGCGTTGGGATATGGTGCTGCCTGGACAGCGACAGTGGCTGCCTGGGCACATGGGCTGCGGGTGTAGGGAAGGAGCTTCCCTGGGACCAACCGCTCACAGGTGCTGCCATACGCCCGGCACCACACTCAGCCCTTCACAAGCCCCTTCTTTGCCTCACCTCACCTGCTCCTTCCAACACCTGGGCAGTGAAGACAGGTAACTTGCCCGGTGTCGCAGAGCTAGGAGGTATAAGCCCGTAGCAGAGTGGGAAGAGCGCTGAATAAGGAGACCTGGGTTTGCATCACGGCCCTGCCACTGAGCAGCAGAGCCACCCACTGCACCTCTCTCCTAGCCTCAGTTTCCCCATCATAACATTGGGTGACACTCACCTCACAGGTCTTTGTGAGGCTCTGGCATGATAAATCAGAGGAATGGCTGCTCTGCTTATTATTTATGGGCATCTTGCCTTTCTGCCTATGGAAGCTGAGATTGGAGCCCACGCTCCTGAGTGCTGAGTAAGGCCTGAATAAACACAGGCGGCAATTTCATGGCACTCTTTGAGACCACTCCACCTCCATCCTGTCGTCAACAAGTGTCTAGTGAGCTGCTACTATGGATGCCAGGAGAGCAATGGGAACAAAGCAGCCAGCTCCCTGGCCCTTCTAGTCTGCAGAAGAAGGGGCAGGCAGGTGTTGGCCAGTTACAGAAGTGTGACCACAGAGGCCCAGGTGCTAAGAGAGCACACTCATTGGGACTGGGGACGGAGGATGTGGGCCTAGGCCAGCCTGGGGGGTGAGAGAGGCTTCTGGGGCAGGGGATTTCAGCAGAGACCCCTGGGGTGAGGCTATCACCTCATGACCCATGAGCAGAAAGTGGCCAGAGACGTAGGGGGCTGGCATCTAACTCACCCCCCTCCACCGGTGCCACCCAGCCCAGGACCCAGACTGCCAGTTCCCTCACCTGCTTCTTCACGTTCTCAATCTCTGAGCGCAGCCTCTGGATGAGCCGGGTGAGCTCGGAGATTTCATTCTTGGTGTTCTTGAGGTCGTCCCCATGCCGGCCGGCTGCCAGCTGCAGCTCTTGGAACTGGGACCCCAAAGCACAGAGCCAAGGATGAGCACAAGGACCGGTATGTATCCTGGGCATGCAGGACGTCTCAGGGGTGCCATGTTATGGGGGGCAGGGCATGTGAACTGGACATTCTCTCTGTTCCGGGAACAACCAGGCCCAGCCTCTCACATGCTGGGGTCACCTTCCCCAGCCCAGCCCAGCCCCAGCCCCGCTCACCTTGGTCTGGTAGAGGGCCTCGGCCTCAGCCTTGCTCTTCAGGGCAATATCCTCGTACTGGTTGCGGACCTCGTCGATGATGCTGTCCAGGTTCAGATCACGGTTGTTGTCCATGGACAGGATGACGGACATGTCACTGATGTGGGACTGGATCTGAGCAATCTCCTGCAGGGCACATGGGGACAGTCTCAGAACTTGACTGCTGTCAACTCCTGGCCGCAAGGTGACTAAATCCCAGTGATGCCAACTTAGAGGCCCCCAAGCAAGACTGTTGCCCCTGGTCAAATCGTGATCCCTCTGGACCCCTACAAGCCCCTGCTGCCATGGGGCAGGCTCATTTCCTTCCCACCCAGAGGGTGGAGATTGAGGAGCCCAGGGCTGAAGTGGGAGGAGAGTGGCTAACAGCCCCCCCAGAACAGTCTTTCCCACAAGCTGCCCTCTGAGGTGGGGAGTAGGAGGCAGACTTACTCCTTCGTAGAGACACTTCAAGAAATTGACCTCCTGGTTCATGAAGTCCACCTTGGCCTGCAGTTCCACTTTACTGACGTAAGCCGCATCCACATCCTGAAAGATGCCCCAGCCACACCCTGGTCACTGCGGCTGCAGCACAGCAGGCAACACCCACCCCTGCCTGGGTGCCTGGCACAGGGAAGCTGCCCAATGCTCTTTGGAGGCTCATGGGAAGTGAGGGAGCAAATAGCCTAGTCCTGCCCACCCTGAGAATTCACTCCCTCAGCAGGACACTTGCCCCTGGCAGGAAGGGGACCGGCCAGGCCACCACTAGCCACCCTTCTGACATCTGAGCCAGGCCCCACAGCTGCGGAGAGCCCTGTATGTCCTCACCATGAGCAAACCTCATCCACATCAAACACTCCAGAAGGCCTGAAAACAAAACCTGCCCAATTTGTGGCTCCTTCCCTGCGCAGTGTCTCAGGGTGGCTTCCCTGCCTTCCCCTCACTATTTCTGAAAGGGGTCACTTCCTCAGAGCAGAGCACGCTGGCCAGGCCAGCCCCTCTGGGCCCAGGCCAGCCCCGGCTCAGAGCCTGCCTCCCCTCACCTTCTTAAGCAGCACAAAGTCGTTCTCCGCAGCTGCCCGCTTGTTGATTTCCTCTTCATACCTGCGGGGACACCGGGCTTGGTCAGTAAACACATCTCCCCGAGAACCCCGTTTGCCCAGAAGACCCTGTGCCTGTCAGAGGGCACAGGCACTGAGGGGCTGGCCTGGGCCCGTGGCCAGGAAGGCTTCCCGGAGCAGGGACAATGGTACACACGTTTGGAGAAGAACATTGAAGGTCTGACTTCAAAAACGAAGAAGGCGCATGTAGAGCGAATGTCCCGTGGGAAATCTCAAAGGAAGCAAGAAGCAACCTCCTCCCTCAAAATTTGAATAAAACTTTAGAATGAAAAGGGCTTCCTCACTCCCAGTACAGTGCTGGGACGTGAATGGATTTAAGCCCCTTTTAACCAATGAAGACAGAGAAGCTCTGGGGACACATGAGTGGTTTACCCAAGGTTTCCTTCACCCCAGAGACAGAGAGAACGAGAGAGCTAGCTGGCCACTGCCCAGCTAGCTGGACACTTGTCCTAAGTGCCCAGCCAGAGGCTGGAGGAACGGGGAACAAGTTTGAGAGTTTGGGGTGAGACTCTTCTTGGTATGAGCAGGACACAGCCCACCGCCTCCCATTCTTTAAGTAAGAAGCTCTCCTCCAGGATGAGCTCAGAGGGACAGGACAGTTGTCCAAGCCGGACCCCCCCACCCCTCACCTCTTCTTGTAGTCCTCCACCACGTCCCGCGTGTTCCGCAGCTCCGAGTCCAGCCTCACCCTGTCCCCGGACAGCGTCTCCAGCTGCTTGCGCAGGTTGCTGATGTAGCCCTCGAGGATGGGCTCCAGGTTGTTCTTGCAGTTGTTGAGGTCCAGCTGCTGCAGCAGCTCCCACTTGGTCTCCAGCACCTGGTTCTGCTGCTCCAGGAACCGCACCTGAGACCCAACAGAACTAGTTGTGTCCCGGCACGTCACACCAGGCCCTCAGTGGCCGCTGTGCAGAGTCTTCAACCTGCATTTCCTCCTTTGGCCCTCACAAGAGTTGCAGAAGGTGGACAAATCCTTCACTACAATTGATGGGAAGGAAGGTGAGGCACAGAGATGTTTACCTCCTCCCAAAGTTTAAAAAAGAGGAGCCAGAGCTGAACCTAGACATGACTCCCCGTCACCCTGCATCCAGCTACTCAGAGCCCAGCATGGCCAAACCAGCACAGCTCAGACGAGCCTGAAAACACCAGGACGGGGTCAGGCTGGGACCCCACTGGAAAGGCTGGCCATTCTGAAGAAGGAAGGGTGTCTTCATTGTGTGGCATGTCAAGTTCTACAGGCTCAGTGGGCCAAGAACTTCCGGTCTGAATTCCTGCGTCAGGCTCTCACCCCACCTGTTCCTTCTCCCCTCATCCTGCGCCTCAGAACCATCTTCCCCAGAGCAAGTGTAGACGTGGATGGAGCTTCTTGTGCCAGGGGGACCTTGCCTGGCCAGAAAACTGACCCGAGGGAGTGGATCTGCAAACACCTCTCTGGTTTGGTTCGGGGAGGCACAGATTTTAGAATGTGGCTTCCCTTTATCTGAGCAGAGCTACTAAATAACTGAAATGAAGTTGTGTCCTCTAAAGTCAGACACAGGAAAGCAGAAAGCTGTCTGGGTACACTGTTGGGATGCTGGGACGGGGCAGCCACCGAGCAGCTTGCCTCCAGTGGTCCCACCCAGCATTTGGTTTCATTTAACCAATCCTGACTTTTTCATGTCTATCTACCAGGTGGGCATTAAGCACAGGGTAAACCTATACCTGGGATACTGCAACCCACATCTGGACCAGACACTGGATCTGGACCTCTGTTAGGATGCCTGGAGCTACGGGACTGTCCTCCTCTAGAGACCGAAATCAGCTGGGACCCGTGCATGCCTCAGCCTGCTTCCGCCCCACCCAGGCAGCTGTCTTTGTTCACAGAGGTGACCACCTTCACGTTCATTTCTCTTTCCAGGCCTCCAGATTTTACCCCTTAATGAGATTGGACCAGCCCAGCCAAAGGTCAGTCTACTCCCTTCCCCCAACCCTCCCTCAGGACACTTCGATCTTCCAGATGTGAAAGGCTCAGAGAAGAGGCCACAGAGGCAAGCAGAGCAGACCCTGACGTACAGAGGAGCTGCGCTCTGGTGGCCACTGACCCTCTCAGGCACCGACTTTGTCCTGGGTTGACCTGTCCTTGGTGCCTGTTGTCATGTAGCCAACGCAGCCCTCTAGTCCCCAGGATTGGGTCTGGGGCAGGAGGCGGCGCCCAGGTTCCCCTCCCTCCCCCTGATGACCTTGGCATGGCGGTTATCTCCTGCTCTTGCTGACTCATCAAGTGGGAACAACAATTTCTTATCTACCGAAAGTCAAGTCAGCGTCTATCTAAGCTGCACGATCTCTCCAGGCCTCTTCCATGCCTTTGATTCCTCCCTCTCGGTACCCTGCCCCTCACTTTCCAGAGATGAAAATGATAACAGCAAGAACCACCATCTGGAGAGTACCTAGTATGTGGCAGGCGTTATGCCAAGATCTCACATGCATTTTCTTTCATGCACCAGGCAAGGACCCCAAGAGATAGCTCGTTACCTGCATCACAGACATGAGGATAACCAACTCTCCACAGCACACACTGCTAAGTGAAGGGGCTAGGGGCCAGCGCCAGGCCCCAGCAGTGCCCCGTGAGTATCTCCTCCCCATCTTGCTGCCCCGCCTCTGGAGAGCTCCTCGGCCAATGGAACTGAACCCAGACGAGGCTCCCCATCACCCACTGCCGTGGCCAAGTCACCCCTAAAAGACCTCGCACTGATACACCTGCTCCATTGGTCATATGATGAGTGGATGACAAGCTTCTCCCTCTGCTCTAGGGCAGAGTCCCTCTCACTGACTGTTTCTATACAAAGCCAGTGTCAGTCTTGAGCTTAGCAATGACACCCAGCTGTCCCTTAAGTAAGAGGCAGGCTCTTCCCTTTGGGGCTCCTGCAGGTAACCCTGGTAAACCTCTGCCAGTTGCAGCTTATACCTTCTCTTGGGAAACACTCTACAGGGAATCTTAGATAAATCGCCCTGATGGTAGATAGTACCTGCCTTGTCCATAGCCAGTGCGCCCTCATGTCTAACCCAACCCCTCCTGCTGTAACAGCAGCGCACGTTCCAAAGGGCACTCACAGTTTCCCCGGCCCTAGCAGACCCACCTTGTCGATGAAGGAGGCGAACTTGTTGTTCAGAGCCTTGATCTGCTCCCGCTCCTGGGCGCGCACCTTCTGGATCTCGGGGTCCAGCTCCACGTTGAGGGGGGCCAGGAGGCTCTCGTTGACAGTGACTTGGTGGATGCCCCCTGGAGGGCACACGGTTGGACACGAGGGCCCCAGGGCCACGCTGCCAAACATGCTGCCCGCAAAGCCGCTGGCCCGGCCCCGGCCAAACCCGAAACCACTCTTCCCGCTGCCACCGGCCATGTTGAGGGAGATGGTCCGGATGCCCCCCAGGCTGTAGAGGCTCCGGCTGCCAAAGCCCCCGCTGAGCCCTTTGCCTCCTGCCCGGTAGGAGGACGAGCTGCCCCCTGAGAGCACGGCCGAGCAGCCACTGAAGCCCCCCTTGGTGGCAGCTCCCGACTTGCAGGTGAATTGGCGGCTCATGTTGCTGGAGGAGATGAAGCAGAAGGTGCAGAAGGGACGGAGGTCAGTTCCCACACAGGTGCTCAGGTCGCAATGAGGACTGGCAGGTGCCCTTCCTTATATGTGCTTGGCACTGGGGCTCGTGGATGGGCAGTCAAGAGCTTAATTCGTGGGTTTGGCTTGCCTGGGAGCAAGAAGTCATTTTCTCTGTGCTGAGCTAGAGATCAAGCCCTCCCCACCTCTGAAACAACATGAAACCTTCAAATTGCTGGGCTGGCAAGCCTTGCTCATGTAATTTGGGTCTTATCTAATTAACCCGCTGTTAGAGGGTAATTTGCCCCAGGCCCAGCGCTCCAGGGGGATAACACCGGGCACTTCACCACCCCATCCTGATTAATCTTGTCTGGTTGTGGGCTTCCTCTTGGGGTACAGGGGACAGTAGGGGATGGACTTCGCTGGACAGGACAGCTAGTGGGGAGGTTATCTGGGGGTTCCAATGATCGCTGTGTCTGTCATTCAAGTATTCACCACACCCACAATGGCCTCTTCTTCTGACCCGGAGAGAACAGCAGCTCTGTCTGCTGGGGCCTTACGGGTGGGGTCACCCTCTTCCCCACAGTGGACATGAACAGCCCAGACAGAGCCAACCATGGACACGAAGCCGTGTGTTTTTTGTAAGTTCCCAGGGAAAGGGACCAACACGCTTCTCCTCGCCCAGACTCCCACAGTGAGGCAGGCTGGGGTGTGCGCAGGGCAACTGACATCCTCAAGCACTGGGCAGAATGACAAGAAAAAGGAGGCGGAAACTGGGGCAGGTAGGTAACTGCGAAATTCAGGCAGTCAGCTGGGAAGAGACATGGAGATGGCAGGCTCCCCAGGCAGAGGCTCGAGGAGGCTCCTGGTGGTTTATTTCATCATTTCTCTCTTCCCTCCAGTGTGCATCTGCTAGTAAGACTAGGAGCAGCGTGAGGACAGGAACCATCTGCTCAGAGTTCAAATAAAGAAGCTGCTGTCAAGGTGAGGCTCATTCCTGTCGCATCTCTCCAGACCCACAGCAGCCAGGAATGCAGGCTGGCAGCTCGGCCCCTTGAGGGCAGGTCTCCCAGGAGAAGCACCGAGCATCCTGCTCCAAACTCCTGTGGCCCTGCCACCCCTGCCGCCCCCCCCCCCACCAGTCCTGTCTGCAGTCCCCTCATCCTGAGTCTCTGGCTCCTGCAATAGGCCCCAGGCCTTGCCTGTGAGCAGCCGCTGTTGGGCCCCTGTTCTGCCCGTGGCTGCCTCTGCCCCGCGGCCTGCTGGCTGTGATTTTCTCTGATACACAGGCTCCCTACCCAGCCTTCAGCATCCCACAGCCGCTGTGCCCCTGCCGTGTCCCACAACGTCCCTCCTAGCTATTCCCCACCTGGTCCAACAACATCTCACCCTCAGGCCTCATTCTCAAATTCCTCCAAAGTATTGCCAACCTGTTCCTTCCTAGTCGAAAGCACCTTCTCTCCCTATCCTTCTGCTCTTTCCAAATCCCACTTAAAACCCTGGGTTTAGCCCCTGCCCCGGTGTTGACTCCGTGTTCCTGTGGCATGGGTTCTGTGTCCCTCTTGGTCCTGCGCCACCCATGGACTCTTAGCTCTGGGCCCAGGACCAGCCTCTGGACATCCCTTACCAGGCGATGAGGTGAGAGGACGGAGGAGCAGCAGCCCAGCGAGGGATGGTGCCTCTTCCGGGAGCATCTGGGCCGGGCCCACCTCGACCAGGCGTCAGCTTCCCCAACTATCAAGGGATAGTAAACTCCTCATGGGGTGATTGTGACAGTGACATCTGTTAATTCACGTCAAGTGCTCAGTAAGCGCCTGGTATTCAATGGTCAATAAATGTTATTAATACCAGAAAAGAGAGTAAGGTAGGATTTGGAAACCCTCCTGCCCTGTCTCTTCTCCTCCACCTCCTTCCTCTCTTGGGGAGAGGCCTCTTCCTCACTGTGCCGTCTGCTACTCGAGGGCCAGGGGGATCAGGTTCAAGGAATCTCTCCACCCAGACCATCTCTGACAGTGCAAAATTCTCCATCAGAAATGATAAGTGCTGAATAAGTGCTTGGCAAGAACAAAACTCAATAGGGAGCATTTTTCAAATAGTGAGTCTACTGTGTTGATCCATTTATCAAATATCTATTGAGCACCACGAAGTGCCAAGGAGGACAATACGAAATATCCTACCCTCAAAGAAATCGGTTTCTGGATCCCTCCAAATGCAAATTCCTCCTGGGAAAAGAGCCTCATCAAACCATTAGCAAACCATGAACACCTTAGTGTGAATTAGTTAATGAAATACTGGCCATTAGGAATGAGACAATGTTGTTGATGAGGATGATAAGAGAGGAAGGAAAATGCTGGGCACCCACAGGAAGGGAGGGCCCAGGGGGGTTCCTTGGGTGCTTGTGCTTTTTGCTGGAGGGAGAAAGGAGGGACAGAAGAAATCCAGGACAGGGACACAGTTCACCAAGGTCACAAAGGCCTTCGCTGAGATCTGGGGAGACTTAGGAGAGGAAGAGACAGAGCCACCTGCTTTGGGAGGCGCCTTGGGCTGATGGCAGAGACAGGATGTGCTCTATCCGTGCCAGCTCCATCTGCCCCTCCTACCCTTCAGGGGATTGCCCAGTTTTCTAGGTGGGAATTGAATTCTGAGCCTTGCTTGGCCCAGCAGACTGCAGTTTTCTCACCTGTGAAATGATGGGAGCAAGTCAGATCAGAGAATCAAACCCCCACGTTACCAGGAACATCTTGCCTAGACATTCAGAAAATACTTAATTAATTTTTATAGCCAAAGTGTTTTATTTGGTTGACCATATAATTTGTATCTTTCTCGGTATTTTTGTCTCTCATCTATAATGAAGATGATCAGTTTGACACGTTTGTTGTGATCCATGTGCCCAGTCTGGACCCAATGGCTGCCCCCTCAGTGTTGTAGAGTCTGATAAACCTCCAGAAGTGGCCTCCTAGACAGAAGGGCAAGAAGATATAGCATAATCCAAGAAGGCAATTGCTAGAAATTGATAGAAAAAGAGAAGGTGCAAAGGAGACACAAGATCTGAGGACACTGAATCCATGAGGGCTGCCTAGAGGAAAGGGTTCAGACCCCAGTCTTTCAAAGGAAGAAGGCTTAGGTGGACTGGTGGTGAGGAATGTTGAAAACAGCAGGAAAAAGGGTATTTGTGAGGAACAGAGCCTCCAGGCAGGACCCATCACTAGACCCCAAGCTGCACACGTGATGACGTGAGTAATAGAGGGCCATGAGGCCTGTTGAGCCAGGTGGAACCTGAGCAACATGTGTCTGAGGAAGCAGAATCCAGCTGCTGTATGGGTAGGAGGGGTGGGTGGGGAGTGGGGGTAGAGAAGCTGGAGGCCCTGAAAAAGGGGCAGATGGTTCTTTGAACAAGTAATTGTCTCCAAAATTAGAGAGAATGAGCTGGGCAATTTGGATGACCTCAGCTTCAGTGCTGCCAGCCCTCCTCAGCAGACAGACCCTGGCAATGAGCACGTTGTCTGTGAACCCTCCACAAGCCCCCCTTCTCGTACCCCATGTCCTCCTGCATTTCAGTTTTGCTCGACCCCAAACATTGGGGGTGCAGTGCAGTCCCCTGGGGATTTTGCCCAGTCAGAGCTGCTCATGTGGGGGCGGAATGGTTGCTCAGCAGGTTTGCAGCTGACAAGGCCAAAGGTGAGCTCACCCCAGAGAAGCTGAGGTATAAAGGCCGGGGAGAGCTGTCTTGCCAGGCAGTCGGCTCACACCCGTCCTACAGGGCTCACACCCGTCCTAAAGGGACAGAGAAGTGCCTCCCAGGGCAGCCCCACGCTCCACGCCTCTTGCTTTCTGCTGGCCAGTTCTGGGCCTTGTGCGTCGACACCGAGCTCTGCTGGCCACATCCTCCTCCCGGTCCAGAGCCTCTGGCCAAGTGTGTGGACTTGGGACATGCAGACCAGGTCCTGTATGTCACCCTGGGCAGGTCTCCCAACTCCTAAGCCTCTGTTGCCACCTCCCTAAAAGGGGGATACTGATACCTGCTCCACCTACTTCCTGAGGTGCACAGGAGGCACCTGGTAAACAATAATGATGATGATGATGATGATAGCGAATGTGGATGTGGTGTGAGCCTTGCGAGGCCCGGCCCAAAGCATGTCCCAGGGATGAACTCATTTCATTCTCATAGCAGCCCTATAGCCAGGCTAATCATATTCCACTGTAAAGTACATGCCACAGCGTTTCTTCAAATGTTTATTTTATTTCTTGAAGGAATAAAAAATTTCCACCCCCATCCCTTTATTCCTTTCTCGCCAGCTCTCCGCCTCCTCCCCACTTCACCTGTGGTAACCTCAGTTCAGCTGTCAATGTCCACGACTTGTGTTTATTTTGTCAGCTCACCTGCTTTGTTTTCTTCTGTCGTGCAGGTATGTGAAATGCAATATTTGTCTTTACCTTTCTGACTAACTTCGACTTACATAACCACTTCGAGTTCCTTCTCTTTTGCTACAAATGACAAAATTTCATCCTTCCTTATGACTGAATAGTATTCCACACAATGGGTTTCTTGTAATCCATTTATTTGTTGACGCACATTTGGGCTGTGCTTTGGCCCTTTGGGTTACTAGAACCGATACCACAGACTGGTAGCTTAGATACACAGAAATTTACTTCTCACAGCTGGGAGCCTTGGGTTCAAGTTCAAGGCGCCTGCATGATTGCTGTCTGGAGAGGGCCCTGCTCCTGGTTCAGAGCCTGCACCTTCTAATGCTGTCCTCACACGGCAGAAAAGGCGAGGTCTCTGTTATCAGAACACTAATCCCATCCCTGGTGCTCCACCCTCACAACCTAAGGACCTCCGAAGGCCCCACTCCATAAGGCCATCATCTTTGAGGCTTAGGATTTCAACATATGGATTTGGGGAAACACTAACACTCAGGCCACAGCAGGTGGTTTCCACCTTTGGCTGCTGTGAGCGATGCTACCATGACATGCCTATGCCCACATTTGTTTAAGCACCTGCTTTCTATTTTCTTGGGTATATGTGCCTAGGAATGGAATTGCTTGATCACACCAGCAATTGCCTGTGTTTAGCTATGAGAAATTGCATGTCTCCATGGTGGCTTAACCATCGTGCATTCCCACCAGCAACGTACAAAGGTTCCAGTTTTGCCACATTGTTGCCAACACTTTTGATTTTCCATTATTTTTTATTACATCCTAGCAGGTATGAAATTGTACTTCGTTGTGGTGTGGATTTACACTTCCCTGATGACTAATCAGGTTGAGTACCTTTACATGTGCTTGTTAGCCATTTGTGTATATCTTTTTTGAAGAAGGGTCCGTTAAAATCCTTTGCTCATTTCTAGGGGCCTCCCTGGTGGTGCAGGTGGTTGAATGCAGAACTACGAAGTTGTCCGCAGCCTCTGCAGTGCGGGTTCAATCCAAGCCAGCTAGGAAGATACCCACATGGTGCAGCAGACCTCTCCTGTTTTGCCCGCTGCTCCCCTCAGCAGTGTACTTCAGTCAGTCTGCCTGTTCTGTTCCCTACTCTGTCTCTGGTGAATCCTCTCACCCTCCCACACATCTGGCCTGTACCCCAGTTCTTGTATAAATAAATAAATCTTTAAAAAAAAATCCTTTGTTCATTTCTTAATTGAGCTGTTTGTCTTTTTGTTGTTGATTGGTCAGAGCTCTTTACATGTTTTGGCTACTAGACCCTTATCAGATGTGTGATTTGCAAATACTTTCTCCCATTCTAAAGGTTGTCTTTTCACTTTCTTGACAATGTTCTTCAATGTACAGAAGTTTCTTATTTTGTTGATGTACAATTTATCTGTTTACTCTCTTGCTGCTTATGTTTTTGGTGTCATATCTAAGAATTTTTTGCCAAATCTAAGGTGATGACGATTTACACCTATATTTCTTTTAAGAATTTTATGATTTTAGCTCTTCTATTTAGGTTGTGGGTCCATTTGGAGTTAATTGTTGTACATGGTGAGAAACAGAGATTCAACTTGATTCTTTCACGTGCGGATACCAGTTGTCCCAGTACCATTTTTTAAGAGACAGTACTCTCCTCCAAGAATGATCTTGGCACCCTTGTAAAAATGGCCAAAGATGTATGGGTTTTACCCCCTAAAACTCTTTTAAACATATTTTTTTGTCACAGGTATAAAGATCCTAGAAACATCATCCTCTGAGTATCTCTGTTAGGTGAAGCTCCCTTAATTGTCTACTAATTGCAAAGCCCAGCAAAGAATAAGGCCAGTGTTTGCCCTTGGGGCCCCCAAGTCTGGAGGTGATAGAATCATCCACACAGAGAGATCATCCCATCACTTCTCATCATTGCTGCACTGGCAGCCCTTCCCGGATTGGTGTGAGTACAGGGTTTGCATGCATGTCCAACTCTTCCCAGACTAACCCAAGCAGGCAGTCTGCTCTGGTCTGTGTCCAGCCTCCCAGAGGGCTTGTGTACATGTGCAGGGTGGGGCATATCTTCACTGAGGGTGAGCAGTTTAGAGAGACTGACACACTGACAGGAGTACACCCCTGACATGACTGGAGGGCAGTTTATTGAAGATAAAGCAGAAATTCAGCATCCTTAACTCAAGCAAAGGAAGGATCAGGTGTCACCATGCTTAAGAATATTTACATCAATAGCCACCACTTCTGGGCTGGGCAGTACCTACCACCAGAGACAGGTCAAGGTTGCTCACTGGACACAACTAATGGCAACAGGGAAGGAGCATTGAAAGCTATTGTAGGACCCAATCCAGGAAGAGGACCAGAGACAAATCACATGCCCACAGTTCTTGACCAAAAATGCAACGTAATTCTGCTACCCTTGTCAAAAGAACTGGGAATTTGACCTTCCCTTTGTTAAAGAGGCCACAACATGCAGCCAGCCAGGTCTGGGCTCAGTTCCTGACCTGGCATGTGGTGGGTGGGCACCTGCCTGCCGCCTCTCAGAGGCTGGGGTTTCTCATCGGTTCCAAGGGCAGTTTTGCATCTGCCTTGCAGGACTGGGTGAGCGTTCAAGGCCATGCATTTAGGCCGGCTGTACGTAGGACGTGCTTGACAAATGGCCGAAGCTATGACTGATAATAAAGTGGGCATCACGACATGGGTGGGCAGAAAATCTCCAGTTCTCCTCTTGGCTTTGTGAACGTGGGCACAGCTGGTGGTCTGAGAGCTTAATCACATTTTCTCCTAAATAATGCAATCGTTCTGCTAACATCCTTCTGACGGGGCAGGTGGAAACTGTCTGGCTTCTTTTCTCCTTGCTGCACATCCCCACACTCACCCCTAGATGCTGGCGAGGAAGGAGCCCCACACCCTGTCCCCAGCCAAAGAAAACTGCTGACGAGGCTGAAGTGCAGGACAAAACTATTCCCCCTCCCGCCCCTCCCTCCTCGTCGCTCCCTAAGGGTGATCATAGCTTTCCAGAGCCAAGAAGGGAATGACAGCTTGTCACCCCAAGCCTCCTGCCAGCTGAGGGCAGAAGGGAAAATAAGAAGGCACCACGTGCACACGGGGCCTGTGGAAAAGGGTGGTGGTGGCAGCACCAGTCGGAGCTTGGCAGCGGGGTAAGCCAGGGTGCGCAGACAGTCCTAGGCTGGGGGCTGCGGAGGGGGGGCGGGCGCTGCGGGCGGGCATGGACCAGGGCATCTCCTCGCCCGGGGAACAGAGGCAAGTGGGCTTATCGGATGGCTTTCCGGACCGGGGCACCCTTGTCCTGGGAGTCCTTGAGGTCCCCTGCTCGAGTCCCTCTGGTCTTGGTCTGCCCACCTCGGCCGGTGCTGGAGCCACTGGCCCCGAGATCGGCGCCGGCTGTAAGGCCAGGGCGGTGGCTGTAGCTGCTCCCGCTGCTGCTGCTGATGATGGCTGCGGAGGCGGGCGAGAGCGGGAAGGGGCATGGGGTCAGCCAGGGAGCCCGGCCCGCGGCCCACGGCCACCCTCAGCAGCCAAACACCACCAAGGTGAGCATCCGGGACCCTCTGAGGCGCTGAGCTTCGTGCAAGTCAAGGACCACACCAGATGAGCCGGCCCCTCCCTGCCGTGACTCTAGGCCCCCCCAAGTCCATCTTCTCCACCCTTGCTCTGGGTGACAGTGCCACAGGGGGACAGAAAGGAAGGGCGGCTCAGTCACTGTTTCCATGGGACAAAAGAGGACTCGGTTTCCTTGGAAGCCACAGAAACTTCGCAAGACAGTCACAGAAACTCCCAGGTGGGAGGAGTGGAGGAACGCAGAGAACCACCCCCCCATCCTGGGGTCCCCGGCTGCCCTGTCTGGTCAGACTCCCCAACTCAGCCCATCTCTCGGAGATACTCACAGATGCTCACGGAGGATGGATTCTCACCAGACATCCTGTAAGAGGTTAGAGAAGCCTCAGGGGAGGGTCTGGATTCTACCCGGTCCCTCAACAACCCATGGGATGGAGATCACAAGCCCCATTTTAGAGGAGGAAACAAGCGGACACACTCAGTGATCAACTGCAGCTGTGCAGAGAGTGTGCGGCACAGTCAGCCTGGCCCACCTCTGGACGGCACCCCCACCTGCCCTTGCTGCTCACGCCTGACCCGGTACTGGAAGCTGCCGCTGAGCCCACTGGCCACCAGTGCGGCTGCCGCTCAACTCCACCTCCCCAGCAGCCCCAGCCTGGCAGGGGCCACCCACCACCCTCCGTAGGCACCACGCAGCCCCTGCACCCACACACCTGCACTCCTCGCCCTCCAGCAGCTTGCGGTAGGTGGCGATCTCCACGTCCAGGGCCAGCTTCAGGCTCATGAGCTCCTGGTAGTCCCGCAGCATCCGGCCCAGCTCCTCCTTGGCCAGATGCTGGGCGCCCTCCAGCTCGTCCAGCTTGGCCCGGGCATCCTTCAGGGCGCTGTCCCCCCGCTGCTCGGCGTCGGCGATGGCCGTCTCCAAGTTGGAGCACTGAAAGGTAAGAACAAGGAGATCATAGAACATGGAAGATCTTTTGGATCTAAGGGCTAAGTAGCACGACCCTCTCGCTTTGCAGAGCACCCCAGGGAGACAGCGAACTGCAGAGCCAGTTCCAGAATCTCGGTCTCCTCTCTTCCTGGTGTGGAGGGATTAAAGGGCGTTGTGAAAGGTCGCCAAGCAGTTGCATTTCAGGGAAGGAAATTCAGGGTTTGCAAAGTTGTCTTGTGCTGGGGGGAGGTGCCAGTGGCTCTAGGTTCAAAGGGTGTGAGGCCCAGGGGGTCACACAGTTCAGGATGCTGCCAGGTCAGACAGCAGCCAGGGGGCATTGCGGTCAGTTCCTGCCTGCAGGCATCTCCCCACAGGGACCCTTTCTACCCGTTAGCACGACCATGAGGTTTCTGGAGTATTCCAGCATTCCACTGGGAAGGGAGGAAAATGTTCCTGTGTCTGAATGAGTAAGGAGCCTTCCCTGAGAGGAAGTGGGTAAGAGCCAGAACCCACAACCTCAGAACCCGGACTCTGACATCCAGCAGCTCTGTGATGCCAAGCGCTGATGGGGGAGGAAGGGTCTCCACAGAGTCTGAGTCAGTCCTACAGGGAGTGGGGGGCTGTTCCCTTTGTTTCACATTGCCGGGCATGGACGGTCGTGGGGGTGCAGGAGGAGAGGAGCTCCAATCTCAGTTTGGCAATTCTAACACCCGCAGAGTTGACATGATTCTTTGGCGTGAACCCAGGACAGATTCCCTACCCCCTTAACAGCATCTCCCCACTGACATGGTGTTTAGAGTTTTCTGGTCTCAGGTCAGACAGGACACCCCGGGAACGGAGATGGGCAGGGAACCCGGGAGGGCTTCACCTGCTACCATCCTCACTCCGTCACACAGACTCTGCCCCACCCTGGGGGCAGGAACCGAACTTGGCCACAGAGGGACCCCACACCCGCGTGCTGTACGTCCTGTGGAGGAGGAGCGGCGCTGCAGCAGAGGGGCGCACCTGAAGGGGCCTGGGCAGCTGTGTTGCGTACAGAAAAAGTCTGAGAAAAAGGCAAAAGGAAAGAGGAAAAATGAGTTCTAATCCTGCCTCTGTAAATCGAGCTTAACTCCAGCCGCCTCCTTACCCAGGCCGTGGACCACGCGCAACAGGCGCCAGCGCTGCCCGGCTTTGAGCCGGTGCCAGCTCGGGCCACAGCAGCCCTGAGGCAGCCCCGGCCGAAGGGACTGAGGTGGCCGAGGGCACCCCAGCCCAGGCTCTGTTACTCAAAGGTGGGTCCCTGTTTCTCCGTCACGGAAGATGAAGCAGGGCTTCAGAGCTGTGCACGAGATGGCTGCCCACCTGCTTCTTCACGTTGGCAATCTCACACCGGATCCTCTGGATGAGGCGGTTCAGCTCTGACATCTCGTTCTTGGTGTGTTTGAGGTCGTCGCCGTGCTGGCTGGCCGCCAGCTGCAGCTCCTGGATCTGGTTTCCCGGAGACAGGAAGATGGCGATGAGGCAGAACCGTGTCCTCCACCCCCCCATCCGAGGAAGGGAGGGTCCCCAGCAACACTTTGACCAGGAGTGAGGTGGGGAGCGAGCCCAGAGGACGCCTTGCAGGAGGTGGTGGGCTGGCCCGGGGCGTTGTCAGCTGCTTGGTGGCAGTTCTGACCCCCCGACCACCGCTTCCCTCGGTAGGCCCCATGGGCTGGCCCTCTCTCTTCTCATTGCCCTGAGCACAGCCCTTCTGGGCTGGATAAAGGAAAGCTTCATCCCCCTGAACTAGCCTCTGTGCTCATTTAACCTCTGAGCCTCTGTGCTCACTTGGCACCTCTAAGAGGCATCTCTCAAGGGCGGTTCTGCTCCGGGCACCAGGACTCAGCAGTGACGGGACAGGTCGAGTCCAGTTCCCACATAATCACCTTCTCCCACAGCCTTTCTTCCTACAGGGCGTCTTCTTCAGCCAGGACGCCGAAGGCCAAGTGTACCCTTGACATGGTGGAACTGTTGACTCAGGATTGCAGCTCAAATCCTCCCCTCCCCGCTTGCCCAGTCCTTCAGAAATCGGGGCTGACAGGGCCATGGCCAGGAACAAGGAACCCCGGCTCCCTGCTGGTGCCGGTGCAGGAAAGTGCGACAGCCTTGGGGAGTGGCCAGGTGAGGGGTTTCCTCAGTGACAGCCCCGAAGGGTTTCGCTACCAAGCGTAACTGCTCTTCCCTGAGACTCCTAGCATCCCACCTCTCCCTCTTGGAAGTCCTCCCACATCAGCCTGAAGAGCGCTCAGGGCTTCTTCTTCTTCACTCCCTGCCCACCCCAGGTCGCCTGTCGCTACTCTGCTCCATACTTTTTTCTCTTTCTGCCCCATGCTCGGGTACCCCAGTTCCTGAACATAGAAAGGCTTTAAAGCAGGAACGGCTCCTTTCTTTCCTTCATCAAGGGTGCCTGTCCCTCTGTGGGGTCTCTCCTGTCCACATCAGTGTTTGGATTAATCTTTGATAACAGGCTCTGGCAGGTGTCCACTCAGGTAGGTGTCTTTAGAGTGTTGGCTACAGCCCTTCCTTCATTCAGCACAGCTACAAAGGTTTCTCTCACCTGTGTGGCAAGGTGTCCCTCCCCAGGGGAGGCGGGCAGGGAGGAGGGGCTCACCTTGGTCTGGTACAAGGCCTCGGCCTCGGCCTTGCTCCGCAGGGCAATCTCCTCATAGTGGGCGCGGACCTCGTCGATGATGCTGTCCAGGTTCAGCTCACGGTTGTTGTCCATGGACAGGATGACAGAAGTCTCGGCAGCGTGGTTCTGGATCTGGGCCAACTCCTGCATTGGAAGGTGAGAGTCAGAGTCCCCACCTTTCCTCTCTGCCCTTGGGTCTTCTGGGCCTGTGGCCCCTGGAAAACAGGCCCATGTGGGGGGAACAGGCGTCTGTGGGAGCGGAGGTGGAAGGTTCCCCTACCAGGATGTGCCCTGCAGGGGGGCAGCCAGGCTCAAGGGAGAGGCTGCTCCCACAATCCACAGAATGGGGATCTGCAAAGTAGGAGCTTACGGGGCCCTTTTCCTGCCTGCACGACCCAGGTGGGGTTGTCTCCTGTGTGTGTGGCCTCCAGGGACCGGGGTCCTCACTTCTGTAGTCTCCCAGCGCAGTTTTGCGTGTTCCAAAACACCCTTCAATCTGTCCCAAATCCCTCCTCTTGGCATCTCCCAGGAAGAGCCAGGAGAAGCCCCAGTTGGAAGCGGTGGGCAGGGAGGGGAGGAGAGTTCTCACCGCGTCATACAAACACTTGAGGAACTTGACGTCTTTGTCTAGAGAGTCCACTTTGGCCTGGAGCTCCGCCTGGACCGCATAGGCTGCGTCTGCATCCTGCAGAGAGACATCCAGAGCTGTCCTCACCCTGTCCACCAAACAGCCTCACCCACCAGATGCCCTGCCCCTGCCCCCAAGAGACTACCTGCTTTTTCACAGAGGGACGCACACTGATTCGTGCCATCACTCCACACTGATTCTCTCCCACACTCGCCGAGCCTTTGGGAAGGGGCTGGGGCCAGCTTTCCTGGTACACCCAGAGAGGGCGAGGCCCAGAGGGGCTTCCTCACATCACACAAGAAGCCCAGAGGGACCAGAGCCTCCCAATTCCAGATCAGAATTTTCTCCTCGCATCTCCATCCATTTCCTGGCCAGGTGTCCAGCCTCTCCCCGCCGGGGGCCGGGACTGACTCCATCCCCTCTGCAGCACAAGCCCTCCCCGGGGCCTGGGTGGAAGTCTTGAGCAGAACAGCTTCGAATGAGGGTGCATGAGAGACCAGAGCCCATCGGTTTCTCTCTCTCACCTTCTTGAGCACCACAAAGTCATTCTCAGCAGCCGTGCGCCGATTGATCTCCACCTCATACCTGTAGGCGAGGAGAGAAGACAATGGTGGCCTCCACCCCCCTGCCACAGCCAAGTAGCCCCCCTTCTCCCCAGCTGGCCAAGTCCCAGGAGAGTGCTGCAATAGCTGGGGTGCGCGTAGCATGTCCTTGGGTCCATGCATCCCATTTCTAGAAACATATCCAGGGGCCTAGTAGAGGCTCCATGTGGGCCACTGATCTGGCCAGGGGATCCATGAACATGGAGGCTCCTTCCTATCAACCAAGCAGGGATTCTTCATCAATGCCATAGGTGTGAGCCCCTGGCCTTTGTGCTTGCTCCCTCCTCTCCCAAAATGTGGCACAGAGATAGGGTGCACCCGGGAGGCCCTGGGAACACGAGCCATGACCCCCGTGGGGCCTGCTCACCTCTTCTTGTAGTCCTCCACCACGTCCCGCGTGGTCCGCAGCTCTGAGTCCAGCCTCACCTTGTCCCCGGACAGCGCCTCCAGCTGCTTGCGCAGGTTGCTGATGAAGCCCTCGAGGATGGGCTCCAGGTTCTTCCTGCAGTTGCTCAGGTCCAGCTGCTGCAGCAGCTCCCACTTGGTCTCCAGCACCTGGTTCTGCTGCTCCAGGAACCGCACCTGGAACCACAATGGATGCTGCCATGTCAGGTTCACACCCCCCACCGACTCCCCACATTAGACAGACTTTTCTATAGCCATGTAAAGTCGAGTCCTGACTCTTCACTCGTGGACCCCGTGCAAGTGCTCCTTCCACAGTCTTCTGGCCAGAACCAGCCCCTGACAACTCACTGAAGAAGGTGATTCCCAGCAGCCAGCAGTTGCTCTTCCTGATGTCCCAGCCAAGAGTTTCTTCTGCACCATGAGCCCTTGTTTCTCCGCAGGGCCGAGAGCTGGAGGTCCACCCAGCAGCCCCCCAGTAACTCATCACTTCTCTCTCAAAGTAGGGCACCCTTTACCCCATCTCACATGTCTCTCTGTAAAATCCTCCAAGAAAGCAACACATGCATTTACTCCTTCGTGTCTGTCCTCCCCATCATGACAAGAGAGCCCTTCCTGAGGTCCAGCTGCAACCTTCCCCCGCACACTGCCTTGTCCACCCTAGGCAGCAGGGAATGGCTTGTCTTTCTCCTAGCAGACCCACCTTGTCGATGAAGGAGGCGAACTTGTTGTTCAGAGCCTTGATCTGCTCCCGCTCCTGGGCGCGTACTCTCTGGATCTCGGGGTCCAGCTCCACGTTAAGGGGGGCCAGGAGGCTCTTGTTGATGGTGACCTGGTGGATGCCCCCAGGTGGGCACATGGATGGGCACACAGGCCCCAGGGCCACGCTGCCAAACATGCTGCCTGCAAAGCCAGTGGCTCGCCCCCTGCCATACCCGGAGCCAGGCGCAAAGCTATAACCTCCGGTGCGACCACCGCCACCAGCCACATTGAAGGAAACACATCGATTCCCCCCAAAACTGTAGAGGCTCCGACTGCCGAAACCAGCACCAGCTCCTTTGCCAGCTGCGTGGTGAGAGGCTGCGCTGCCCACAGCCTTCCTGAGCACCACTGCCGAGTGCCCACTGAAGCCACCCTTGTCACCACCAGCCTTGAGGTTCAGCTGCCGACTCATGGTGGGCAGATGGAGGATGGAGTTAGAGGACTAGAGAAAAGCAGTCCCCAGCAGGTAGAGAGCACTGATGGGGTGCCCAGAGCACTGTCTCCTTTTATCCTGTCGAGCCCGGACACCGGAAAAGGGCGTCTCTCCATTATCTCCCTTCCTAGTGCTGAAGGGCCAGGGGCCATGGGCAATTTGTAGAATAAAGATTTCCAAGCCCTTTGCAGCAACTAAGCACTTCTGATGGTGAGCAGAATCTGCTGCCCTTGCAGACTAGAGAGGTCCAATCTGGTCTTTATCAGTGCTCCTAATTAGGGGCCTGGAGAGCTATCCCCTTAGAGATCTCTTTGCTGTTTTTCCAAGGCTGCTTCCTCCTTGCTTATCTATCAGCAATGAGCAGGGATAATGCCTGGCTTCATTCTGACAGGGCTCATCTGAAAACCCCAGGTTTCCTTCCCAAACAACATATCCCCATAGTATCTGGTTGAGGGTTTGGGGGGCTTGTATCAGAAAAGAGGAGACCAGGATAGAGCTGAGAGTTGGAGCCAAGGATGCAGAGACTTTTTGGTGCACGTGGCAGGCGTGGCAGCCTGGGCTCTGAGTCCCTTATGCTGTGAAGATGAGTTGATGACACAAGGACATGGGGAGGTTGCCCTGGACTGGGGATTCCATTGGGTGGTTGCTTTCTAGAGACCTCACTCTGGGCTTCAGTGAGACAGGACATGTAGGTGGGCACCAGGAAGGAAAAGACTCACATGGGGCCTAATTTATTCTAGGATCCCTAGTAGCTGGGCCTCCATCAAGGCATTCCAAGGGGGAAATAAACATGGTTCTTGGGATTCCAGTCTTCTGAGCCAACCAAGTCTGTGCCTCCAGTGCCTGGCTGAGTGTGAGCCCCAAGCCTCGAGGGGAGCAGGACTTACAGGGACCTCCACAAAAGAGTATAAACAAAGCAGGAAAGGCACAAGTCTGGAGCTTCAAGACTGGAATAAAATAGAGGAATAAAAGCAGGTTTCTAGATGCCCAGCGTGTTGTGGAAGACCAAAGCCCACCCACACTCAGAGTGGTGGGCTGAGGAGAGCTGGGACCAGGACTGGAGCCCCACAGCCATTGTATTCACTCCACAAACACCCAACAAGCACCTCCACGTGCCTGCCCTGTGTCATCAGGAGTCAGTAGGTGTTGATGAGGGTGGGGAGGGCCATGGTGACTGCAAGCAGAAGGAACAGGCGGCAGAGGAGGATTTCCCCACAGCAGTGTCACCGTCTCGGCCACACACGGGCGTCCCTCCTAACTGATTCCTAGAGAATTTAATTGCAGGGAGTTATCTTGGCCCTACACAATAGGACTTCTGACAGTTTCAGTCTTCACTGTGTTGACTACATTCTAATTAGTCATCACACTCCACACCCCGGTCTTTGAGTTCACAGAATAATAAGTATCCAACACCTGAAAAAATTGTTCCAGTCACTAAGTATAAAATTGAGCACCTGTTGTGTGTCCTGCTCTACGCCAGACCCTGAGAGGAATGCAAGACAGTCTCCTCCCCCTCCAAGAAACTGAGAAGCTGGGGGAGAGAATATATAAGCCCATGAGCGTTGTGTTGCTGTGTTCATGTTGTAGGTTTGACCCTATGTGTCTGTATTGGATTAAGTCCTTGAATGAGTGACTCAGACAGGCTATTATCAAATTTCTGATTCTTTTAAAAATTATGATAGAATGTACTAGGTCTTCCAGGGTGGCGGTTGGAGCTGGAAGTTGAGTCAGGTTGGAGAGGTGCATCCAGAGGTAGTGAGTAGCCCAGGGAGACTGCAGGGGAAGGTGTGACTTGGGGAGCAGAGGTTAATGGGGAAAAGATAGTGGGGGCAGTTTAAGACACTTCCCTCTTCACTGTAGACAGTGTGGAATCATACAAGGATCCTGAGGGGAAGAAACTTCACAGGACCAGTGCTTTGTGTTAAAGATCAGGCTCTGCGTCACAAGAGGAGTACTTGGGGGAGACCAGCCCCCCAGGAGGACTGAGGGATTTGAGCCCACATGCATCGTCACCTCCTGCCATCTTGGCTGGGAACATCCCAGGAGGGTGGGGGTGCATCCCACCGGCAGCACACACCACGCTGCAGGGAAACACACAGCACCTGCCAGAGTGATCCAAATTGGACACGACCAAATTCATGTCTGCTGGGTTTGAGGGTTGGGGAGTGGACACTAAAGGCCATTTTTCCTTGCCCATTGGCCTTTTGATTACTCCTGGACAAAGGAGCAAACTTTCTGTTGATCACAGTCATTAACACGGAAAGAGAGACATGAAAGATTCTTTTTTAAAAAAAGGTTTATTTTATTTATTTATGCATACAAGGGCTGGGGTGTAGGCCAGAGATGCAGAGGGGTGTGAGTGTTCCCCAGAGATAAAGTGGGGAGCAGAACAGGCGGATCTACTGAAATACACTGCTGAGGGGAGCAGCGGGAGAGCCAGGAGAGGTCTGCCGCGCCATGTACGTTGCTCCCTGGACAGAGATCAAACTTGTGCTGCAGTGACTGCCAATAGCTTTATAGTGCTGAGGTTTAACCCCTTGCACCACTAGGGAGGCCTGCCCTCTCTTGAGAGATTCTTGAGCTAACTTTGAGGAGACAAGACTTAGGACAAACCACGTGAAAAGGACCAGAAACTGGGTTCTCTGACTTCCATTCAAAAATGAGCTCATTTGCAGGAACAGGATGCTCTTGGCCTGCCTGAACCAGTTTGAGAGAGGCCTGTTTTTCCATCCTCCCCAAAGTTAGCTCGAACAACGCAGTCCATCCACTTTCTCCCATCCTCTCCACACATCCCGCCCCCCCAACACCCTTCACCTTCCTGACATGAAATTCTCAGTGTCGAGTCCAACAGCAGACAGACCAGACCCGACAGGTAGGCAGGGCCTGCTGCAGTCTGGGGCTCTAGACAGGGCTTGGGGTTTGGTGGGAGGGATGTGGAGAGCTTGAAGCCGGAAGTTATATGCTGGCAAGAAAGGAAAAGGCAAAGAAGACACAAAAAAAACACCCCGGACAGGAGATTGGGGAAAGCAACAGTCTGTTTTGGTGAGTAACCAACTGTCCCGGTTGGCCCAGGACTAAGGGGTTTTCTAAGACATGGGTCCTTCAGGGATACAACCTGGATGGTTCTGGAAAACCTGAACAGTTGATGGCCCTAACATTACCCTCCATTGAGGAGTAAGAGAATTAAATTCTCCTGTCATGGGCCACCTGGTGGCCTAGGGGTTAAGTCTCAGCGCTATCACCACTACGGCCTTGAGTTTGATCCCCAGCCAGGGAGCTACCCACATGGCGCAGCAGACCTCCCCTGTCTTGCCCGCTGCTCCCCTCAGCAGTGTATTTCAGTGGATCTGCCTGTTCTGTTCCCCACTCTGTCTCTGGTGGATTTTCTCACACCCAGCACCTCTGGCCTACACCCTAGTTCTTCCATGCAAAAAAAATAAATAAATAAATAAAATTCTCCAGTCATTTGTAAGGGTCATTGAAATTAATTTCTCTGAGTCAGCCTTTGCTGGAAAAATTCATGGGTGTCTCTTTATTTCCACTTATTCCTCTCCCCCCACTTCCAGCACAAGTGCAAACACGATTTCTCCAGATTATTGAGAACACAGGCAGCTAGATGCATCCGTCTACATTCAATTCTGCTCTCATTTGTTGAATGCCTGTTCTGTTACGAGGCTCTGTGCTGAGTGAAACCCCAGGCAGGCAGAAAACGTGCTCAGAACCCCATTGCTCGCCCTAGCTCGGGATGGTGAGCCGCTGTTATCAAAGCTCAGCAGAGGGTTTTCAGCGAAGCCTGGTGCTGGATCCCTGTCACTGCCGTTTTTCTAGAACTTGCTACCACACAGCTTGGAGTCTCTCCACAAACACCCTACTTGAAGGCAGGGCTCTCCCAACCTCCTCTCCTCAACACCAGTTTCTCCCTCCTCACCGCTGCGGCCCGGCTTAGGGGGAGCATGACGCGCCTCTCTCCCCAGGAGAGAAACTTCAGAGCCGCTTCACCAAGGGCTGGCGAGGTGCCTCCATGCCAGTGAGAAGAGGCGCCCCATCCTCTGGGCAGAGGCAGCCCCTAGCTGGGCGCACAACTAGACCTCAGTCCCCACCTGCCCCGCCCCACAGGGCCCCGAGGCTGGCATAACCCACCCAGCTCTTGGACAGCCCTGGGTGGTTTGCTGACTGTAAGGGCAGGCTCCCCCAGTCTGGCGAGTGGGAGCCTCCGGCTGCATGCTCTCTCTCCCCCAGGGAGGGCATCAGTCTCCTGGAGTCCCCCCAGTTTGCACCTAGACCCCCCAGGCTGGCTGAGCTCTGTCTCTTGTGTCTGAGCCAGGGGGGGAAGAGGATGGTTTCCCAGGTCCCATCTCATGGTGCCCCCGGGACTCCGGCCACCGGAACTCGGCCCTGACCCCTTCCCTCTGGCTTCTGGTTTCCCTTCACACCAGGGCTGCGTCTCAGCAGCTCCTCCGTCCTTGTCTCTCTCTCTCTTCCTCCTCTGCCTCCCACAGCTTTTACGACTAAACAGACCCCTCGCCCTTTAGTGTGGATCAAACATTCTCTATTTCTCTTTCCCTCCTCCTTTTTTACAGGAAAAGCTCTCTGGAGGCTCCAACCCCACCCGCCACCTACCCAGCCACCCCAGGGAGCTGCGCTCAGCCCCAGCGCAGAGGTATGTGGAGACAAGCACAGTCTTGCTCGGGGAAGGGAAGGACGGTTTTCTTCCATTTGCTCCTTTCAATAAAACCAGCAGCGCCCCCTCCCCCCATTCTATGCTGCTCTACCGGCTCCTTACCAACAGCCCTCCCTCCGCCCCAGCCACTTCTAGAAGCCTGTCAGGTGTTCTCTGCTCCCCCAGCCCCCTTTATCACCAGATTCTTTTTTTTCCTTTGTGAAAGACGGCAGAGTCTGGGGGAAATGCCTTAATCTTTTGATCATGACTGAAGCTGGGTGCTGGATCCGCCTCTTCCTTTGCCCATTTCCAAAGCAAACACGCGGGGCTGCTTGGCGGGCTGTAATTAGGCCAGTCATCGCTAATGACTTGCTCTCTATCTCTCAGGAGAGCAGCCCTGTCCACACAGGAGGCAGAAGCCTGGCCCCACCCCCAGGCCCTCCTGGGGGAGAAGCCGGAGGGTGTGCTGGGCAGAGGGGGCGCTGCCTCAGCTCTGGGGGCAGTGGCATCCCCATGTCCATGCCCACATTGTAACTGAGCCTGTAGGGTCCCGGGGGAAGGAGTTACATGGGCGGCAGAGCGGTGGGGAAGCCCCAGGAAGGGCAGAACACTAAGGGGCCTGGACGAGCCCAGGTGAGGTAGGAGGTGGGAGGAAAAAATGTAAAAAAAGGACATCCCGAAGATGTGAGGAATAAGCGCTCAAAGAGAAACAACTAGAAAAGGCTGGGTGGGTGCGGAGGTGTGGCTGGTCCTAGGGGGGCTAAAGGCGCAGCGGAGGGGAGGGTGGGCCCAGGCTGAGCCAGGCCTTGAGGTGAGCCTCCACGTTCCATGAAAGGCATTTCCATCCAGCCCAGCCCGGGTGGAAGGGATGAGTTACCTGCTGGCTACAGGCAGCCTCCTAATTGCTGTACGTGGGGAGTTAGGGGGGGACAGGGCCCCTAAGCACCACCCTTCCAGGAGAAACCCGCACAGACTTCGGGGCTCAGGCAGCTGGGGCTCGGGGGACCCTCAGCCCTGACACTGGAGGCCGGTCGCATGTGCTCCGCCACCCAGCACTGAGCGCACAGCCAGCTCCCTTTGAAAGGTCTGTCCAGCTTCCCTTGCAGAGAAGAAAGCCTGGAGACCAAGTTCCCCTCACCCCAGTGCCATGGGTCCCCCTGAGGCAAATGGGACTTCAGGTCTGGGCACCGAGGTGTGACACGCAGAGGCGGGTTGTGAAACGAGGCTGCAGACCCGGGGAATGGGGGAGAATGTGCTGCCCACAGGTGTCCGCGGGCGGGAGCCGTGGGCAGCTGGAACCGGGCCACACCGGCTCCCAGTTAAGGGTAAAGGAAGAGGGGGCAGCTGGAGAAAGCGTGGGCGCTGAGAGTCAGGGAGGGCCGAGAGTGACCGGCTTGGATCCACCGCGGAAGGCTTGGGCACTGCTGGGGGCAGCCTTATCTGGTGCTGCATTTGGAGTTCCAGCAGGAAGGAGCTGACTTCCTGAGAGCCCAGCAGGAGATGGGTGGGCTGGAAACAAGAAGGAGGGACTTAGGTGATAAGCCTCTGGGACTGACATCTCTGTGGGGGTGTGGCATGGATGTGTGGGGGATGGGTGGGGCAGGGCAACAGAACGTGATTGGCAGGAGACCTTCACCATCTCTAGCGGTGCTGGGGTTATGTGTCAAGTGTGTGTGTGAGGGTCGAGGGACCGGACTATGAGCAAATGGCCTACAAGAAACTGTCACCTTGTGGGCGGAGAAGTGGTAGAGGTCCTGGAAGAGAAATCTGGAACAGCTGGCAAGGGCAACTCAAACCTCAGAGCAACTGCCAAATGTGACCTGAAAAGTCTTTAAGATACTCCATGTCTCCAATAATCCCTGTCCCTTCCACCTCCTCCAGGAAGTCTTCCAGGTTGTATGTTTCGCTCTAATTTCCTGCCTCCCTCCCTCTGCCTCCCCATGCTGTGCCTTGCCAGTGCCTCCATTTATGGATCATCTACTGCTAACAGAGAGAAAGATGGTAGGGGCCAGGGGAGAGAGAAGTCAGAGCCTCACACCTCTCCCCCACTCCCCTGCAGTATAGCCAGGGCAGGGATTGCAAACAGTGCAGGAGGGGCCAGGGAGGGCATTGTGGAGCGGTAGACGCTCTCCCTCCCAGGACCTCAGGATCGGCACCAGGATTCTCAGGTGCCCACTGAGAACGAGCTGTCCGAACACCCTTAGTTCTCTGACTAAAGGTGCGACCGTGCAGGCGATGGCAGCACCAGCTCCCCTCACCTCCTGACAGAGGAGGGAGAAGGGAGAGAGACAGGAACCAGGGCCTGAGCAACATGGAGGCCGAGGCTGGCCTGGACATGCTAGGGAGCAAAACAGCATCTGCTCCAGCTGGAAGCTCCGCAATGGGCACTGAGCCTCTGCAAGACCAGCCCACACCCTCTGCCTTGTCAGGAGCCTTTCTTCCTCCGGGTCACAGGGAAGGAAGGTGCAATACCCGGGCTTGAGGGCAGAGGGCAGTGCATGCACAAAATACAGGCACCTGGGAGCTAGTGCTGCTGCCTGCCAATTAGCAGCAGCTGCCTGGATGGGAATGTGCTTCAGAGGTAGGCCCAGCCCTCCCCCTCGTACTTAGCCACCTCAGCCAGGTCTCTGGGCACAATTCTGCTTTGGATCAACTGATAATGAGCCAGTGCACAACTGGCAAACACAGAAGCCCCATGAGTGTGCATTAATAATTATAATACTCACGACTGGTACCTGATGGCTGCAAAGTGTTAGTCCAGGCACTGTATTACTTCCATTCTCCCTTTTCATATATAAAAAGAGGGGAGACACCAGCTGTAATATAGGGGCTGTAGCCGTGGGGCTGAGAACGCGGGCAGAGCACTCAGCCACCCAGGACTCTGTCTGCTCGTCTATAAAATGGGCCTGTGGGGCGCGCTCAGTGCGGGCGCTGTGTGTGTGGAGCGGGGTGCCCAGAGCCAGCACTGAGCTCCCAGGAACGACTCTTCGCTGTTGCCTGGGAGCAGCTGTCCTCAGTGCCTACCTGGCCAGAACCAAAGGCCAAAGATCCAGGTCGGGCCAGGGACCCAGAACCAAGCCAGTTAGACCAAGGGAAGCTGGATGGGGCCAGGCAGCTGTCGGCGTCCTGGGCACAGACTCGACAGCGAGGAGTGAATGGCATCATCGTTTATTGTGGGGGAGCAGAGAACTGGACACCACCCCATCAAGGACAAAGAGGGCCCCTTGGGCAAGAAGGTCCAAGAAAGGCATGGGATGGGGCCTTGCACCTGCCCACGGGGAAGCATCCCGGGCATCTCTGCGTTCAGGGGCAGTGACCCCGGGAAAGGGGCCAAGCAGGGGTCACCAAGACAGCCCGTGACTGCACTTCCGCATCAGAGCATCGTGGGCCGAGGACAACAGGGAGAGGGGACGGGAGCTGGATGGAGGTTAAGGAAGAGGCACTTCCTGACTTGGGAGGCACCCTGGGGGTGGAGACCCCGCAGCAGGAGGAGGAGGTGGAGGTTCTGGAGGTTCGCAGTTTCTGCTCCCTGAGCCAAGCACAGGGAGTTATCTGGAGGCCTTTTTGGCCGCACAGCTGTTGCCCGAGGTCTTGGTGAGGGGGTCCTTGAACTCGCTGCCGCAGCTGCCCTTGGTCTTGACTTCTGCCACTGCAGGTTTGTAGCTGTAGCTGCTCGAGGCGCCAAAGCCCATGCTGAAGCCAGCGGCTCCCTGACCGGCGCTGGTGTTGCTGATGACAGCTGGAAGGTGAGAGAAGACCCGGGCCCCATCAGCCTCTTGGGGCATCCCAGCCTCTCCTAGTTCTCGCCCCTGTGGTGGCTTCAGGGAGAGACAGAGTCTCTCCGGTGGGTATTTTTAGTTTACCAAGAGGTCTTCACTGCACTAATCGTTTTTATGTGCCTGGCCCCAAATATCTGGCCTTTCCCTAACTAATTTGTGTCAACCTATCAGTACAGACTTCAAGCTTTGCTGGGCTCCATCAGTGAAGCTCCCCAGTGGGAGGGGAGGCCTTCTGCCGCTGCTGGTGGCAGCCCTGCCACTCCTAACACAGCTCCTCCCTGTGCCATCACTGACTTTCAGTCTGGAGAAGTTTATTTCTGATTTCTGCATCCTTCAGCCTTCAGGCATCCCTCCATCCCTCTTAGTGACATCAAGGGCCTCTATTTGGGGTTGCCCTAGACAGAAATAGAAGGTAGCCACAAGCATCATTCCTACAATGGACTTTTGGATTATATAATGTTGGGTATCATTTGATCTTGTACTTGTATATTTCATGACATTATTTTTCCCTCCATTGCTTCTCCTGGGTTACTGAAGCCAGCTTCCCTTTGTGTCCCTAAGTACCCCCCGAAGCCACTCTCTTATGCTGTGATCCTGATTCCTTTTCTCTGTCATGGAAATAGAGGGACTCAGACGTCTGGTGAGTGACCAAGGGCAGACCAGGTCCTGCAGATACTTACAGATGCTGACAGAATTTGGATATTCACCGGACATCCTGAAGAGGGAGAAGAAAAGCAGATTGAACCCCAGCAAAGCATCACCCCATTTATTCAGGGAGTCACCTCTGGAATTAGCCACTCCTCTCAGAACGTGCCCCCTGCCACTCCACCCCAAGCCCCTGTCTTCCTGTACTTGGGAGAATAAGAAGCAAAACCTGGTACAAGGAGCCGGCTCTCCAGCCAGGTGGACCAGGGATTGTCTGATATGTGGGATCATTGTGCCTCCCCGTCCCTCTAGTAATGCCAGTGGTCTTAGACAATTAAGAGGCCTGAACTCACTGGGCCTTGAACTTAGGTGACCCTGGAGGTCATCTGCCCTCTCTCCCCCCTTAAGAATGTATCGCCAAGGGCCAGGAATGCTATTTCTCAACCATTGCAGACGCTCCTACTTCCTCTCCTACCACCTCCTTGTTTTTACAACTTGGTCCTTCGTGCTGTCAAAGTTTCATCTTTCTTACTGCATCATATCAAACCCATCCTCTCTGTGGCTTTATCTCAGCTTGACCCAAGCAGAAGCCACTGTCTTCAGCCTTCTTTCTGGCATGGAGAGGTGACTGCTCCAGACAAGGCACTGCCCCCCGCACCTGCACTCCTCGCCCTCCAGCAGCTTGCGGTAGGTGGCGATCTCCATGTCCAGGGCCAGCTTCACGCTCATGAGCTCCTGGTGCTCCCGCAGCATCCGGCCCAGCTCCTCCTTGCTCAGGTGCAAGGCAGCCTCCAGCTCATCCAGCTTGGCCCGGGCGTCCTTCAGGGCACAGTCCCCCCGCTGCTCGGCGTCGGCGATGGCCGTCTCCAGGTTGGAGCACTGAGGGGCGAGAGGGTACAGGCCTGAGTCAGGCTGCCCAGACAACCTCCTCTCAGTTCTGACCCGTAGTAAGTGCGTCGAGGTGCTCCTGCTTTCTCCACTTTTGACTCGGTGTACAGTCCACCAAGCTCACGCCTTAGCATGTGAAGGTGGCACCTCCTTACCTCGGGGGAGAAGCCAGGGAGGGAGGCAGAGAGCCGATGGGCTACCTAGATATGTCACCATAGTCTCTCCCTGCTGGTCTCTAACATCAGCTATAAGATCCTAATGCCAACCCTGAAAAGAGTCCCTGGTAGCTGCTTTCATTTTGCACCATAGTCTAAAAGTTGCTTTGTGTGGCTCTGTAAGTCATAGACAAGAAACTGAGGACTAATCAAGTTCCTATCAATAAGACATGTGCTCAGTAAATCTGCCACACTGAGAGTCTGGCCTCCCCAGCTGTGTGGAGAGTCACGCTACCTGGTGCCAGCCTTGAAAGGAACTTTGCACAACTGGCAGGACTCAGCAGTGTGCAAGCCTCTGGCTGGTAGGAACAAACATGAGACTAGCAGAGGGAGCCGCAGACAGAGCGACTTGACTTGCCGGGAAGCTGGGCCCTTAAGTCCCTGCGCCGGCCTCCACAAACTGTGGGAAACTCCTGGGTTTGCCTGCTGGGAAACCCCAAGTGTGGCCTCCATAATGCACTCGACGGTGGGGGAGCTCAGTACAGTGGCCTCCAGGACCCCCACAGGGCAGGGCAGACAGAGCAGAGCCTTGGGCCAGCTCTACTCCTTCCTCAAGTCCACTGCTGGGCCCGCCTCCTCCACAACCGGGTCATCATGCGAAGCTTCCAAAGAGCTCCCCTTTATCTACCGCATCGAACCGCCACTGCCTGGCTTTGAAGGCCGCTCACAAGCCTCCCTCCCTCCCTGGCGTCAACCAGCACCCACCCGGGGACGCGGCTCCTCTCTCTCACACATGCCACCTGAGGCCCTGCCCCTGCTGGCTCCTTCACCAGACGCCTCTCCCTCCTTTCTGCCCCCAGCTCCGGGGTAGTCCCAGCTCCCGCAGAAACCCTCCCGGGGGTGCTCATTCAGCCCGAGCAGCCCCAGGCCCCTCGAGCGCTGACACCGGCGCTGCACCGGGGCGAGGTCCACATCCTTGCACGGAGGCCCAGACTGCCCTAAGGGGGGGCCTGCTTACCCCTTTTCCATGTCTGGTTTCATGCAGATTAGTGCTCCGCAAACCTGCAGCTGATTCCTCTCACCAACCCACCTGCTTTTTCACGTTCCCGATCTCCGAGCGGATCCTCTGGATGAGCCGGTTGAGCTCCGAGATCTCAGCCTTGGTGAGCTTGAGGTCATCCCCGTGGCGGCCGGCGGTGAGCTGCAGCTCCTGGATCTGAGGCGGGGGTGGGAGGCGCACAGGACGGGTGAGAACTCACCTCTGGAGGGCGCGCAGCACGGGGGGCAGGGGGAGACCATGCGCCGTTCTCATGGTTCTCACCGGCCAAGCAGGGCAGGCGCAGGCACAGGGAGGGGTGGGGGGGGCGGCGAGGGACGGGGGAGGAGGGGAAAGACCACCCTTTCCCTCTGCCCCAGAGCGAGGACCTCAGCCGTGGCGGAGAGTGAATGTCCTTGTCCTCATTGACAAAGTTGGAAACAAGAAGAAAAGCCGAGAGGCGTGGATGCCCACAGAGACAGCGTCAGGGCGTTATAAGGACGTGACCGTGTGGCCTCTGCGGTCAGCCAGGCCTGTGGCAGGGCAAGGGTTAAGCCCCATACGTGTACTTGACTCGTCCTACACTGTCTGAGCTCCCTGGACCCCAGGGAGGTGTTTCCACAAAGCCCTCTCCAAGATGAAGGCGGTCTCTGTGCAGTCCAAATGCACACGGGTACACACACATGCACACACGCACATGTGCAGGGCACAGCAATAAGCGCACGCTCGCATGCCTGGCTCCCTGTTCACCTTGGTCTGGTACAGCGCCTCGGCCTCGGCCTTGCTTTTCAGCGCGATGTCCTCGTACTGGGCCCGGACCTCGTCGATGATGCCGTCCAGGTCCAGGTCCCGGTTGTTGTCCATGGACAGGATGACGGACGTGTCGCTGATGTGGGACTGGAGCTGAGCAATCTCCTGGAGGACATGTGGGGGTAGAGCTAGTTAGGGGTCTATGAGCAGGTACTTCTTTTGGGCCTCCCTGGCACATCCCCCAGCATACACTTTCTGCCTTTCTTCTGCCTCTGAACTCTGCCTTTAGCAGAACCTGCCAGTGCTGGTGCCTGCCAGGTGTCAGATGATCACGGTGGGCCCTTGGGCTTGGTGTGGACCCCTGCTCCATCACGCACTGGGGGTTGCCCCACTCCACCCCACTCTCCACAGCAATGGCCAGCTTCACCATAGAATCAAGTTTGACTCCTTCCGTGGCCCTCAGAGTCCTCAGGAGTCACCAACAGCCTCCCCTTCACCAGGCCACTCATGCTTTAGTGCAACTCAGACCTTTGAGTTTTATTTGCTCTGCTCCTCCTTACTGAAGCATCGTGCCCGGTCAGCACCCACAGAGAGGTTCCTCACCTTTCTCCAGGTCCCTTGCCTGCCATTCCTCCTCCATCCCCCCACAGCTCATCTACATGCTGTGTCCCTTTCAGACTGTGAGTTCCTGGAGCAATCACTTACTCTCCATCATGGTCTCTTCAAAGCCTACCTCATTGCTCAGCACATTGTAGGGTCTCAGCAAATGTCAGCGGTACTGAGGGGAAGTCTTCCCTGCCAGCACGTGCCCCACAGAACCATGCGGGCTCAGGCTACTCGTAAGAGGAGCAGACCACACGCAAGAGCTCAAGGTCCTCACCCCTTCGTAGAGGCATTTGAAGAATTTGATCTGGTCTGTCAAAGAGTCCACCTTGACCTGGAGCTCCACCTTGTTCATGTAGGCAGCGTCCACGTCCTGGGACACACAGAGGGATCAAATGTCCCCCCTTTGTACCCTTCCTGGCTGCCACAAGGCACCTCAGGTCCCTTTCCCTCCCTTCCCCAGGCCTCACAGGGAGGATACAACCCTGAGGGCAAACCAACCAGTGCTAGTCCCCACACCCGCTGCTGCAGACTCTGGGAGCAGCATGCACCCCAAGCAAGGCCTGGAGGCAGGAGCTGAAATCAGAATCTCAGTCACTCCTGCCCAAGGGTCTGAATGGCCCACAGGGTCCCTACCCCTAGGGAACCCTCAGCCCGCTCCAGCCCTGAACCCACACCTTCTTGAGCACCACAAACTCGTTCTCCGCAGCTGTGCGCCTGTTGATCTCCACCTCGTACCTGCAGGGGGCAAGAGGAAGGAGACAACCTTGTCACCAGGCTAGTTCAGTTCTGCAAATGCTCACTGAGCAGTTGGTGACCACCTCTGTGCCAAGAGCTGCAGGGTGGTGGTCTGCAAACTAGGGTCCATGACCCCCGGGGCACACAAGCCTTCCTAAAGGGGACGTGACAAGGACAGGTTGAAAGGAACCAATTTCCAATCCTCGGTTCCGGTGCGGCCTACCTGTATCTGCCCCACAATGCACGTGGATGGTGGTCAAGTTGATGATTTTTATTTTTAATTTTTTTATACATATACCAGTTTTTAACATATCCAAGACAAACACTAAAACACTAAAAAAATAAGAACTGAAAATTAACTAGTGCCATTAAAATGGCAGAAGCAAATGTACATTGAAAAAAAAAACTTTCTTTACTTAGAATTTATCAATGAAATGTCCTCCCCAGAAGGGCCGTGGTCTGGCCACCGGGTCTCTGCTGGGACACAAGGCACATTAGCCTCCTCGGGTGCAGCTCCTGTGGTAGTGACCTCAGATCAATTTATAATCTTTAAAGCAGAGCTAGTTCATTAGCTTCTTAAGCCATGGTGGCCCTTCAACTGCTAAGGCATCTAGATGGAATCCATTTGATACATTTGACACCCGGTGCAACTGGATACCTCAAAACCATGTAGCCATGATCATTTCAAATGACGATTTACATAATATGTCCTTTGCAACTACCTAAATCTATGATTTAAAAAGTCATGTCATTTTATAAATAGCATTTTTTTAATATTCTTTTAGAATATCTGTGAGAAAAAACTTACAGACCACTGCCAGCGTGTACAGTGGTGCTGACACTGCCTACCCCCAGGATCTCATTGTTTTACAGGGAGGTAAATGTGCTGAAAATTCTAGCACAAGGATAACTTATGATCAGCATTTCTTATGTCATAGAGAAATTTTTTATAAGTGACTAAAGACCCATAGGTGGGAAAGATGGTGAGAAATTTCATTTTGAAAATAATAAGTACAGCTAATATTTCTTTTACCCTTCACAACATGCTAAACATTGTGCTAGCCTCTTCACATACCTTATTTCAGCTACTCTACCTGGCCATCCCCACCCCCTTGAACTGTGGCAGAAGGCAGCTCTCCCTGGAAATCCTGCACCTGACAGTAAACTTCCAAAATATCAGCTCCCACTACACCTAGATGTATCACTCCTCCTTGGCTCTTCTTGGAGGGTTTGTTTTCAAGTATATTCTCAAATAATCTCTAATCCTGGGATTCAAGAACACAGATATGCCTCAACATGTAACAGTTTTTAAAACTTTTTATTATAGCTTTAAACTTTGTTCTGGAATTAGTGGCATATCTCATGTTCTGGAAACTTCCTTGAAAAACCTCACTCAGGAGAAGTTCCCAAGCCATCTGGGTTGTTCATCTGGTTTTGAGACAATTCACTCACACACACACACACACACACACACACACCCTTTTGATCCCCTATTTCCAGTCTAAAACTGAGCACACCATTTCCTAGGTAATTTGAAGCAACAATACGGGTAGATCTCCTCTCTTCCTAAGCCTCTTCCCATCTGGCCTTCTCTCCCTGTCCTAGGAGGAAGAAAGTCGCCATGACATTGGCAAAGGATCTAAGAAGGCAAAAAAGCTGGCTCCACATGGAAATTTCATCTGAAGTCAAGGCCCTCGGGTGGTGGGTCCTCTGCCCTCCACTCACCTCTTCTTGTAGTCCTCCACCAGGTCCTGCATGTTCCGCAGCTCCGAGTCCAGCCTCACCCTGTCCCCGGACAGCGCCTCCAGCCGCTTGCGCAGGTTGCTGATGAAGCCCTCATAGATGGGCTCCAGGTTCTTCCTGCAGTTGCTCAGTTCCAGCTGCTGCAGCAGGTTCCACTTGGTCTCCAGCACCTGGTTCTGCTGCTCCAGGAACCGCACCTGGAACCCAAAGGTGGTCAGAGCCCAGAACCCCTTGTATATTGTGTTGTCTGTCAAGAGTGGGGAGGGGCCTGAGAAATCAGAAGTGGTCATCCTGGAGGGGATGGGGGGACAGAAAAGAACAAGACTTGGGGGACTCCCTGGTGGTGCAAGGGGTTAAGCACCGCACTATGAAGCAATCCACAGCCTCTGCAGCACAGGTTCGATCCGGCCGGCCAGGGAGCAACCCACATGGTGCAGCAGGCCTCTCCTGACTCACCTCCTGCTCCTCTCAGCAGTATATTTCAGTTAGTCTGCCTATTCTGCTCCCCACTCTGTCTCTGGTGAATCCTCTCACCCCCCGCATCTCTGGCCTGTATCCTAGCTCTTATATGCATAAATGAAAAAATCTTTAAAAGAAAGAAAAGAACATCAGAGAGTGGATTCAGTTTGGGGGGCACCCCCAGCTGGGCCTCCAAAACAAGAAATACCATCCAGTCTAAAAGAAATTGGGGGGTGGGATTAAGCACCACTAAGTGTTTTATAAACATCCAAATTCATCCTCATTACAAGGGGGAGGCAGAGGGAGCCACTGTCCCACATATTTTTTGGAGGAGGGGAGTTGCTGGGAGAGGATGAGGAACTGCCCAAGCTCCCACCCAGCTGTCAGTGGCCCAGCAGGCACCCCTGTGAACACTGGCCCGCGAGCAGGGCCAGGCAGCCGCTTGAGGACCCACCTTGTCGATGAAGGAGGCAAACTTGTTGTTCAGAGCCTTGATCTGCTCCCGCTCCTGGGCGCGCACCTTCTGGATCTCTGGGTCCAGCTCCATGTTGAGGGGGGCCAAGAGGCTCTTGTTGACCGTGACTTGAGGAATGCCTCCGGGTGGACACACGGATGGACACGCAGGCCCCAACCCAGCGCTGCCGAAGACGGTGCCCACAAAGCCCGCGACGCGGCCGCCGGTGCCCGCGCAGTGGCCCAGGGCATAGGCGCCGCCCCGCCCGGCCCCTGCACTCAGGGCCAGACGCCGGCTGCCCCCCAGGCTGAAGACACTCCTGCTGCCGAAGGCCGCGGTGCCCTTAACGCCAGCTCTGAAGGAGGCCGAGCTGCCGCTGACCCTGCTGGAGATGATGGCTGAGCAGCCGCTGAAGCCCAGGCGCTCCCCGCCCGAGTAGTGGTGCAGCTGGCGGCTCATGGCTGCGAGGACGGAGGTCAGGGCTGCTGGCTGCAAAGGGAGGCAAGAGAGGGGCACACAGAGCGGCTGGATTTGTCCTCCTGGCTCTCCCCTTAAATAAGGAGGCTCGGGGCTGGGCTGGCTGGAGTCAGCCTAATTTGTAGGTCTGCAACATCTCATAGGCCACATGGGGCCTCTTGAGACCTTTGTTTAGGAAATTATCATGCCTTCTCTGAGATTTTTGTCTCTTCCACCTGAACTCCCCATGAATTGCCTATAAAATGGTCCAGAACCCTGCATTTGCTTTGCTTACCTCCAGCATTATAATAATTTGGCTTCCTTATCTCCACTCACTGCCCTCCAATTACTACGGTTACCACTGCCAAGAATTCCAATGGAAGCTTCCAGTGGGTCTGGCCTCTGGGGTAGAGTGGGGGGACAGGGGGAGGGGAGGTCAAGGGAGCAGATGTCCCCAATTCTTTTCCTCCCTTACAGGTCTACCCCACAGTCAAGAATATCCCGGAGAATCACCTTCAGCCTGCCGGCCCCCTGCTGTTTCCTGGGGCTCCGGGGTGAAGACGTGTCTGTCCCGTGTACCGGAGCTCTAAGAGTAGAGACCACGCTCCATCTGCAGGGACCTTCAGTCTCCGGGGGAGGCAGCGACACACAAGGCCAGGAGAACTCTGGTCACAAGCGCTGGGGTGTGGTTCTGGGTCAGAGCTAAAAGGTTTCTCAAAAAAGCATTTCTGGAATAAGAGTGGGGGACACGCTAGCTGGGAAGGAGGGAGGAAGAAGAAAAGCTAAGACGGCGCCGAGGAGGTTTAGCAAGGTCTTTCAAGGCCTTTTGGTGGCTGTTTCCCTTGAATAGCAGAAAGGGGGCATGTATCCAAACTAGGGGACTCTGAGCAGGACATCTGCTGCCCTCATGTCTCAGATTCTGGATCCTAATGGGCTGGACCATCAAGGAGGGGTCAAGAAGGGCCAAGGAAGATTCTTCCAACTGGCTGTTAAAATGAGTTTCTAGAGCTTCATTCCATATAAATTCAGGAATATCTTTCTTCAATCTAATCCAATTTGCTTTTCTCCAGGTTAAGTTGCCTTCACTTCTTTTCCTCCCTTGCAGGAGCCCCTCCCTGTGCTGCTCTTTGGGCACCCAGGTGGGGCTCCATTCCAGCATCCTTATACCTGAGTGAGTTCTGGGAATGTGCTGCTTTTCCCGCATCAGATTGACAGGTCCCTCTGGTGACCCTGCCTTTCCCCGCTCCCCTGCTGCTCAGCCCAGGCTTTAGCACCAGGAAGTGATTCATACTGGTGCTTATCACTGTGTCTTCAGTTATACCCTGGAGACTGGACTCCCCTCCGGGCCTCCTGGGCTGGCCAGATGGAACCCGGGGGTAATTGACCAACACAGCCTCCACTGAATCAATCACAGGGCGTAATGACAGCCCAGTTGTTTACCCCATAGGGAATAGGGCTGTGGGGGCATTGGTGAGTAATAGAGATGGCGCCGGCCGCAGATGGACAGATAGAGGAGTCTGGGGTGACCCGGTGGGGAAGAGGGTGGGCTCTTTTGCTGCCTAGGAGAAGAGGTTACTATCCTCTCTTTCTGGAGAGGGGAGAAATGTTGGTGTGAATGGGGTAACATTGAAGAAGCTCCTGTACTTCCATTATTTCATGAGATTTCTTTCCCTACCCCATAATTTTAGCCAGTTTTTCTCCCATTAGCACAAGAAAGAGTCTGTTAATTCTGGCCATTGAGAATCAAAAAGAAAGAAAAATATTTAAGTTGACACAGGAGAAAATGACGTAAGCTTGGCTTTCAAAGTCTTTGGATTCTCCCTTTTTTCTGGAAACTTTCTAAGAAGCTGAGACACCTGTCCTCTGGGCCCGAGCCACATCTGCCCAGGGTTAGGGAAGAGGTAAGATGACCTTTCCTTACCTTCCCATAAGGGTTGATTGGCTGGATGAATCAGGAATTGCTCACCCCCCAGGGGCACCCCTCTCCCAGCCCACGAAGAGAAGAGACGCAGTGACACAGCCGGGTTCCAGAGACATCAGATGTGTGGGCATGTGGGCAGATCAAAGCTGCCTGAGACCTGGAGGAGGGTTCTCACTGCTCCTGCCTTCTGTGGCAGCTCCGGGGTCCCCTTGAGCCTTCTGACATTAGTTCCAGGTGAATGCACCCCCTGCTTTGGTGGACTAGGCCAGAGGTATCGGCCTCTGGGACTGGCGCGCCAAGCATGGGTCAACTGCAGGCAGAGTTGAGCAAATGTGCCGTCAATCAAATGCGTCTTGTTAGCCTGGAGCCCAGCTCTTGGGAGATGAGCAGGCAGCACACAGGGGAGGCGCGTGGCGTGGCTTCCACAGTGTCAGCGGGGACTCTTCAGGCTCGCAGACAGGCTCCACGCTGTGCTCCCCGCAGCTCCCGAGGGCGACCCGGACTCAGTGTTTCCCACACACGCTGACTGTGAAGTGAGATCATGTATTTATTTTTTACTTTTTAATGTCTGAATTTCTACCATGAGCGTGTAATACTTTTATAAACAACTGATGTGTTGGAAATCAGAGAAGAAAAAGGAGGAAGATTAGTTCTGATTGGATCAGAAATAAAGTACTGTTCTTAAAAAATAAAACAAAAATCTCTGTGCTTTCCAAACTTTCTTTTGGCCAGAGAACGCTCTCTTTAGTAAACACCTGTACCTGTTTACTTATATTCAGGTATCTAGATGTTAAGATATGGCTGTGAGACATGGATAAGAAACTGGGTTTCTGCGAATACATTTAAGGAACACTGAACAAGTTCTCTCCATTTCACTACCAGATAGACTTACATTTCCTGAATCCAAACAGACCTACAATATCTTGGTAAAAGCATGAAGGAGGCCTAAACATACCGCATATGGTATCTGCTTATCGGTCTCTCATCGCTCAACTATCCATTTAGCCCGATCCAGCTTAGGGCACTACCCCCGGGTTGTACTGTCAAACCTGCGTGGGGGGTGATTCACACAGTAGAGAGCACTGCAAAAGGGGGGCCAGCGGCCAGTGCCGTCGGGTACCTGCGAGAAGGGCTGTGCCTGAAAGGCCAGTGCTCGCCCGATCCTCGCTCACGCCCCTGCTTTCCCAGCACCCTTTGGAGATCAGGTGGGGCTTGGGGCCATGCAGGCCAGCTCAGTGTGGGTGGCGCTGACCTGTTCCACTTGCAGGGTGAGGCAGTTAGCAGCCCACGTGCCCCCTCCTTCTCCATCCAGTAACCTTAGAGGCCTCGTGTCCCATGTGGCAGGGCGGCAAGACAGGAAAGCCTGGGTCCCTGAGACACCCACTGGGAGAGCCATGTGGAACAGCTGCCCTCGAGTGCCTCACACAGTGAGAAGTGGACCCCGGTAGTATTAGGCTGAGCCGCTGTGACCTCAGGGTTGGTCCAGGGAGGCAGCCAGTGCTAATTATCTATATCCAAGCATAGGTTTTGGTAGGAATACTCTTAATAGCCTATTCTCTTTATCCTCAGTTCATGTTCACCGACTGTCTTCTCTGCTTTTCTTCCCAGCTGAGCTTCTTGGCAGAATAGTCCATCCTGTTAATACGAGTGGTGATAGTAACACTGGCTTAACAGCAACCGTTTACTGAGTACTATGTGCAGGCATGGAAATCAATGATCCTTGCATACTATTTCACTAACTCTAATTCTCATGACTACTTTATGAGGGATCTGACCTCATAAAAGAGGTTTATGACTAACCTCTTTAACAAATGAGGAAACTGGGGCTCGTGGAGCAGGCCTCACCTAAGTCACACAGAGAGCAGGGGACTCAAACCTGGTCCATCTGACACCCATGGTGTTAATGTGAGCTCTACAGCATCAAACCCCAGCTCCCTCGCAGGCTTGAAAGCGCCTCTGATATGGCCGCTGCCTGCCTCCTCAGCTGGCCCCCTATACCCCGCCTCTCCCCTGAGGTTCCTCCAGCCTTGGAATTTGTACCAGCAAGCTGGTCCCTCTTCCACCAGCCTTGTGCCTCTGGCTACAATGCCCGCACCCCCTCCTGTCTACCCAGGCAACGCCATCCTCTGAAAACTGCCCAGGTTGCCCCTCTGTCAGCTTTCCCTGGCCCCCGAGATTCTCACTCCCTTTTGTGCTGCCTTGGTGTCTCCTTTGTTGCCACAACTTCAGGGTGTTTCGGTTATATTTTTAACAGCTGGTCTGCTTTGAAGGATGGGCCGGGTCTGTATCTCCCTGAGTCCCCAGCACACACAGGCCATCCCAGAGCAGGTGCTTCATGAGTCCTCGGGGAACTGACCACAGTTTCTTCACTGACCCCAGGAGCATATCCTGGAGACTAGGTACTCTGTCAACCAATTCTCTTTTGGGCAATATTAAACTGGCATCTAATTTATGTCTCCTTTTTTTTTTTTTTTTTAAAGATTTATTTATTTATTTATTTATTTATTTATTTATTTATACAAGCACTGAGTACAGTCAGAGGCGTGGGAGGGTGAGAGAATTCACCAGAGCCAGAGCGGGGAGCAGAGCAGGCAGAGGGACTGAAGTACACTGCTGAGGGGAGCAACGGGTGGCAGGAGAGGTCTGCGCGCCATGTGGGACCCTCCTCCGGTGGCCGGGGAGCAGCCGGGAATCGAACCGGCGCTGCAGAGGCCACGGGCAGCTTCGCAACCCAGCGCTCAACCGCTGCGCCACCGGGGAAGCCCTAATTTATGTCTCCTTAATGTTTGGATTTTATAAATCGCCGTATCAGCAGCTAAACCTTTCAGTAAGCTCGTGAAGTTAATTTTTGAACCAAAGAGACTGAGGACAAGATTCTGTTTCTACTAATATTTATTAAGTATGAACTTCACAGCAGGGATTATACCAGACAGCCTCTGTTGTCTCACTTTTGCACAGTAACAATTTGCAGGTATTATTCTGCCCATTTTGTAGCTAAAGAAATCAGGGTCGAAGGGGTTGAGAGTCTTGCTTGTAATCACATTAATAGCTGAGTCTGGTTCTGATTCAAGGTTATTGACTCTAGAACCTTCTAGACCTGCAGCAACCCTGGTCAGAGGCGCATGGACCCCGCCTGCGTGTGTGCCAGCTGCCCACTTGCTCTTGTGTCCTGCTGCATCTGGACAGCAGTCATGGCCTGGTACCAAGCAGAAATCTCTGTACTAAAGAGTATTTTGGAAGCTGAGGGCGGTGGGGGGGGACGGGGTGTATGTGACAGTGCCACTCCCATGCTGACCACAGCTCACACCTGTGAAAGCCACACTTGACCAATGAAACTGCTCCAAGGACCTCAAGAGAATGTGGATCACTCGTTGCTTTAAAGAGACTCCACCTTTGGCCCTTCCCTGGAGAACAAAGGGCAGCCATAGCTCCAGCCCCGAGCTTTCCAGAATTGGCCTCCCACTTATGTCTGGATCAGTTTTAAATCTTGCCACAAGGCAAGTGTTGGCTCCCTCTCCCTGCTGATAATCTGAAGGTTCATACAGATCGCTGCTCACTGGAGCAACAGCCTGAGAAAAGCATGATTTAGAAGGTGCGTCTGCGGGAAGAGGGAAGAATCCTGAGTATCACAAGCCGCAGCGCAGGTGGTGGGGTCCTGCGGTCCATGCAAGGGCCTTTTTCTTTCAGGTCAAAAGATATTTTGAGGTTCCTTAAACAGGCTGGACCCCAGGTGCCCGGGGTCTGGGCGATTAATCTCCACACTCAGAAGAGACGCGGCCTGAGGTAAGGATTCACTTAAGAGAGAGAAGCAGCCTGGTCCTGCAGAAGTTTTACAAGTTTATTGGTGAGATGCAGAAAACAGGAAAGTGAAGTCTAAGGAGGGGAAGTACCCCATGCATGGGGATCCTAAGTCCCCTCCAGCCTCCCAGGCCCAAATCCCCTGTTGACAGCACCAGCCTGCCAGGGAACTCGCTGCTCTGCGGTCTGCAGGCGCCATGCAGGATTCGGCCGCTGACAGACGTTCTGCTGAGCTGCTGTTGCTCTAACAGCACACGGTTCCCAATGGCCCGTGGGCGAACCTGGTATCTCGTGTGCCTGGGGAGCTGTGGCCAAATAGCTGCCTACCCTGGGCCTGGCAGGGGCAGTAGGAAGATGGACTGCCCTTGCGAGAAACTTCCTCTGCACAGAGCCACCAGGCCAGAGGAAGGGTCAGGTCTTCGTCTTTGGCGATGCTTCAGGAAGGGGAGGCTGAGCCAGGAGGTGTCGGTTCAGGGCAGAAGAATGGGTAGGCTCCTGGTTCTAGTTAGGAACAACTAAGGCAGAGAAGTGGACAACAGAGGAGAGGTCAGTGGCAAAGAAAAGCAAAGGGGACACGATGACAAACGTGACAGGGCTCTCCTGGGGAAGAAGCCAGGGGACCCCGGGCGCGGCGGCCACCGGGAATGGGTCTTTTGCTTTATCTTGTGGTTTTCTTGGTGGGTGAACTCAGAGCTGAGGTCTTCCCTGCAGGATCCTTGAATTCACTTGCACTTCCCAGCCTGGTCTTGGCCTCCCCTCGGGGGCTGCAGTTCCCGCTGCCAGTGACACAGCCCCCAGACAGCATGCCGTAGCCCCCTCCGACGGAGCTGGGCCGGTAGCCATAGGTGCTGGCACCGCTGAACCCGAAGCCGGCTCCTGCCCCCGGGGTTCCGGCCGCCGAGCTGCTGATGACCGCTGGAGGACGGAGGGAGGAATGTCAGATTAAGTGTGTGTTCCAGAACACTGGGGTCCTAAGTCCCTTCCAACCTCCCAGCCCTAACCAGCTTAAATGGTTCCCTCTTAAGCAAACGTGTCACATCAATCACCAGATTCCACTGGACCCCCAAACCTCATTCTCTGAACAAACAAGAGTAGCAAGAGTTTCCCCCAAAGAACAGAGGATGCCCAGGCATCACATAAGCCAACCACAGGCCAACGGCATTTAACTTTAGAAGACATTCTTGGTTTTTCAAATAATTTCCTGGTTGCTGGATTTAGGGGGATTTTTTTTTTTTAAGATTTATTTATTTATACAAGCACTGGGTACAGTCAGAAGCGCGGGAGGGTGAGGGAATTCACCAGAGCCAGAGCGGGGAGCAGAGCAGGCAGAAGGACCGAAGTACACTGCTGAGGGGAGCAGCGGGCGGCAGGAGAGGTCTGCGCGCCATGTGGGACCCTCCTCGGTGGCCCGGGGAGCAGCCGGGGATCAAACCGGCGCCGCAGAGGCCGCGGGCAGCTTCGCAACCCAGCGCTCAACCGCTGCGCCACCGGGGAGGCCCTAGGGGGATTTTTTTCAAGCTATCTTAGGAGTTGGGGCTACAGCTGTGGAGCCAGCGCTGACGCTGGTCACGCCCAGCCTGTGTGCGGCGGGTCTCCACTCCCCCGAGGAGGGGGTCTCTCCTGCTCTCCGCTTCACCAGCCACCTGGGGTGACTGTTTCACCCCAGCACAGGCAAGATTTCTGGGGAAGTGGACTTGAGAACGTGATGGGCTCTGGTCTCAGCAACGGTGCTCCACCGGGCAGAGCCCAAGCTGTTCCCCAGGCCCCTGGGGTGGGCACCCCCTTCCTTTGTGTTCATGAATGGACTAAAAACACCCCTCAAAGGTGTAAAATACTCACAAATGCTCACGGAGTTGGTGTATTCGCCAGACATCCTGCATGGAGAGAACACAGGGGCGTCTCCATCACACAGAGTGAGTGAGCCTCCCTGCAGCCTGAAACACCCCGCAGCTCAGCCTCCAAATGCCATCCAGCTGGCCAGGGGGCGGGTGGTGGCCGCACTGGTATCCCTCAGCCCTCCCTCTGCCTCCTCCGTCCACTCTCCCCACTTCAGAGGGGGTGAACCTGCAGCCCCGGAGCCCTCCCTCCCACGGGCCTTCTCCCCAGCCCACTTCTTCATCTCGTGGGGCTCCAGCTGAACAAATGCACATGAGGAAATATCCGCAGCAGAACTGGCCGCTGATGAATTAAAGGCAAGGGTCACGCGTATAAAACGGTGCTGGGTTACAACAGGGTTTTCCACCGTCAGTTGTCCAGGGACCGCGTTCACCATGTCCAGCTCACGCTGTGACCTATTCAGCGTCTTTCATTGATTCTGCCTTTCTCTTACGCATTTCTCCAAAAGGATATTTCATATCATCAGGGTAAAGAGAAAAACTACAATTACCTGGCCGCCCAAAAGAACAAAAATACAGCAGTAAAAACAAATATGAAAACAAATTTTTAATCTTGAGGCCAGATATGGTTGTTTGCCCAGTGTCTGAGTCTGGGATCGACTGTCCCTTTATTAACAGGGATATTTGCAAGTGGCGGACAGTGTGACAGCACAACAGCCCTGCCATGGGGCTGTCGCCCCGTCCAGCCTGACGCCTGCAAGAACTGTGAAGGAAACCACGTCTCATCATCTGATGGGGAGCTATCTAAGGCTGCGTTTGTAAGCAACCTGAACAGCCTCTCCAGCCCCTCCAGCAGCCTCCCCCAGCCCCTGGGAACTGGGTTGGTGGATTCCAAAGGTTCTTCCATCTCTAACATTCTAAGACCCTCTTGCTGTGCACCTGCACTCCTCGCCCTCCAGCAGCTTGCGGTAGGTGGCAATCTCGATGTCCAAGGCCAGCTTGGTGCTCATGAGCTCCTGGTGCTCCCGCAGCATCCGGCCCAGCTCCTCCTTGCTCTGGTGCAGGGCGCCCTCCAGCTCATCCAGCTTGGCCCGGGCGTCCTTCAGGGCACTGTCCCCCCGCTGCTCGGCGTCGGCGATGGCCGTCTCCAGGTTGGAGCACTGAGGGCCAGGAAGGAGCATTTCCCCCTGAGCTCTAAGGCACCCCGAGCCCACCTCACCAGCTGTGTGCTCGCTGTGAGGGATCCTCCTCCGTCCCCCTCACTTCCTCAAGCAGAGCCCCAGCCACACCCACGGTGATGGAGCCATCGGCTGGCACTGGGAGGCAGGTCATTCTCAACCCTGGACTTTTTAAAAAGATCCTTCCAATTTTTTCAGACTTCAAGAGGGAGCTAAGTGTGGGATGAGAGCAGGGGCTGTCTTTGAAGAAGGGGGTTCTGAGTTGGAAGACCAAGAAAAGGAGGCGTGAGGGGCGGGGTATGACAGGCAGCTCACCCCTCCCGTGTGAGAGAGCCGGGAAGCCCAAAACCCATTCACCTGCTTCTTCACACTCTCGATCTCGGAGCGCAGCCTCTGGATGAGCCGGGTCAGCTCTGAGATCTCGTTCTTGGTGTGTTTGAGGTCGTCGCCGTGCCTGCCGGCTGCCAGCTGCAGCTCCTGGAACTGCAGGGAAAGGAGCCAAGGCAGGGACCTTAACTCAGGGCCTCACTGAGTTCAGCCGTGTGGACAATGCCTTTACCTGCAGTATGTGGCAAAGGTGGGTGGGGATCCCCAACCTCAGGTCTAGCCACAGCCTTCCACTCAATCATCTGTCATTGGATTTGTTTGCTTTAAGCACAGTTGATTTCACTGATGCTTAGAAATGGGTAGAGGACTTGAAAAGCCCCATGCTCTCCACACTTTTAAGTCCAAGCCTTTGACATCCAGAGTGGTTAGGCCACACACTCTTCCCTGACCCCCACTTTCAGAAGTAGCTGGGCCCTGGGAACATGAGCCGGAACCTCCTCAAAAAGCCCTGGGCTCTGTCATGTCTTGGGCCTTGGCAATCTCCCTTCCTCCCACCCTGCAGGCCTAATCTTTCTTTCCCTAGGGCAGAGGAGGCAGGCAGAGGAACAAGATAAGGTCTAAAGAGTGCGAATTTCCCTTGAGAAGGAGCCTGATAAATAGTAAGGAACAATTAGGAAGTTGCCATCTTGATCTGAGAGACCAAATTATCTGAAGAATCACTCCCCACCCACAACCCATTAGAGTTGAGATCTAAGGGACTCACACTCCCCCTCTATCCTTGGAGTTGGACTTGAATGAAAAGGTAGGAGTTACCTAATCTCAGATCACACTGGAGACCCCCTAATTTATTGTAATTAACTAGAGAGTGGAGATGCTAATGACCCATGTTTCCCTCTCAGACTCAGCTCAAAACTGCCTCCAGGAAGTCAGTCCCGGCCTGCCCACCTGCTCCTAGTTCCCTAACCTCTGTCCCTCCGGAGCTCACAACTCTGCTGTGTCACGGTCATTTGTGTGTATTCGTCTATGGCTACCTCTACTGTGTCTTCTCCCTCCAGGTTTCCTCTGGTGTCTGGACAGCGCTGTGCTCCCAGCAAATTCACGGGCCATGGTGGGTCATGGGACTGGACCAGAGGGCCCAAGGCATGTGACTCTGGGGAGGGGTGCAGTCACCTTGGTCTGGTACAGGGACTCGGCCTCGGCCTTGCTCTTCAGGGCAATCTCCTCGTACTGGGCCCGGACCTCAGTGATGATGCTGTCCAGGTCCAGCTTCCGGTTATTGTCCATGGACAGGATGACAGACGTGTCACTGATGTGGGACTGGAGCTGACTGATCTCCTGCAGGGACAACAAGGAAACATGAAATGCCTTTTGTGAGCAGAGGAAGGTGGATGGCCCGGTCCCAACAGGAGAGCCCCCCAACCCTCCCAAAAGATGCAAGCTCTATTCCCCAGAGCATCTAAGTATGGAGCAGACCAGACCAGAGATTTCAACATCACATCTGAAAACTGCTGAATGAGTTTGAAGCTTCCCAAGAAAAATTAAGCCTACAGCCATTCCCTGAGATAACGGGGAGCGGGGAAGCCAAGGGGGAGCAGCATGGTCACCACACAAGAGACAATAAGGACACAGGAGCCCATGGGTGCTCAACCAGCAGGATGAGTTTTGCACCGGAGAAGCAGTGCAGAGTATGAGGACACCCCACTTCCACCCCTAGGGATTCCCTGCCCAAGACCCAGGGAAACACCCCCAGCAGATAGAAAACAGGCAACAGTAAGACTATGCTTCGCTGAAGGTTAGTGGGGACCCCTTAAGAATCCTGGCTTCCTGAAGGACGTGGGGGCAGGCCATCTGGAGGCCAGGCTGGGATGGACGGCACACATCACTTAGGGGCACCAGAACAGATGTCACTCTCACCTTTATCTACAAAGTTCCCAGCATCCAAATGTTGGCGATCCCCCGGACTCTGAAAGTCTCTGGTGAGTAGGTAACATAACCACACATGCACATGTCTGTCCTTCCAGCAGACAGAGCGGAGGGTGGCACCAGGAGAGTCTTACCCCCTCATACAGGCACTTGAAGAACTTGATTTCTCGGTCCAGGGCATCCACCTTGGCCTGCAGCTCCACCTTGCTCATGTAGGCCGCGTCCACGTCCTGAGGGAATCCAGATGCCCCTAAGGTCACCTTTCTTCAAGCCCAAACAGGGCTCTCCCAGGAAATAGCACCCCAGCGCCTGACTCTGACCAGCTGCTCCAGGGAATGGAGCCAAAACCCGGGGGACTAGAAGCTGATTCCCACCCAGCATTCACTGGGAGCCTGGAGTAGAACCTCAAGCCTCTGGAACTCCTTCTGCCCCACCCAAAATGAAACCTTTTCACTGCCTCTGTGTCTCAAAGAGAGGGTACAGGAGAGAACCCTGTCCCCATATGGTCCACCATTCAGCAGCTGGCACCAGAGGCAGCCTGGGTGATGAGCCAGAGACGGCCAGAGTTGGAAGGATAACCCGCAGCCCCCCTTCAAGCACGTCCTGTTCCCCAGGACTGAGTGGGCATGACCCAGGACTGACCCAGCATCTGGGCTCCTGCCCATTTTCAGACACAGTGACTGGCAATGTGACATGCGCTAGACGAATATCAAGGGGCCCCCAAAAATTCCTCCATCTTCTTCTGGAGTTTCAGTCCAGGCCCTCTGTGGAGAGCTCTCACCCCTCAGCAACCCCTCTCCAGTGCCACCCCTCTCCCTCCTCCACTCCCTGGGTGGCTGAACGACATGCGCCCCCTCCTCACCTTCTTAAGCACCACAAATTCATTCTCAGCCGTTGTGCGCTTGTTTATCTCCTCCTCGTACCTGCAGAGAGAGCACTGGCGTGAGCAGGGCCTGGCATGAGCAAGGTCTGGCATGAGCAGGGCCTAGCGTGAGCAGGGCCTGTGCCCTCCTTGGGCAAGGGGAGGAGAGGCTGTGCTGGGTGTCTTCGAGCAGGTATATTCCACACCTTTGCCATGCTGTCCACTGCGGCTAGGGCCCTCTGGCAGCATTGAAGGGCAGGTTTGACGAAACCACGCCTTGGGCCCGGGGACTGGATGGTTTAGGGTCTGCATTTCCTCTGATACCCAAGGAGTAAGTAGGTTTTTCCTCCTCTGATTCTGGGTCCAAATCACAGGAACATGTTGCTGCCCCTTTAGCCGTGTTTCTTGCATCACCACAACTGCCTGGTGCCCTCAATAACCACCTGATCCCCAAGCCTGAGTCCCAAACAGAACTGTCCCCTGGACTGCGAGAGGAAGCATGGCCCAGGATGGGCAGGAAACAAGACAGGAAGTCCAAGAGGAATGCCAAGTCCCTGCCCTGCTGGGGGCACACTGAGTGAGCTGAGGAGCTACAGGCTTTGGTCTGCGCACCCTCAGGGAGCCTGCCAAGTAGATGGCCACCTGCCAATACAGCCCTGCCTCTGCCACAGAGGTTGGCTGTCCATTGCCCTATCCCCCAGCTGCCTGAGAAGCCGCATCTTGCAGCCGAGGAGCTCAGATGGGTCGCTGTCACCTGAGCTCAGTGGCCTTGTGGCCAGAGGCAGATACCCCAGTGCTTTCTGGGAATGCCCAGTCCTGGGGGCAAGGGGCCTGCTCACCTCTTCTTGTAGTCCTCCACCACGTCCCGCATGTTCCGCAGCTCCGAGTCCAGCCTCACCCTGTCCCCGGACAGCGTCTCCAGCTGCTTGCGCAGGTTGCTGATGAAGCCCTCGAGGATGGGCTCCAGGTTGTTCTTGCAGTTGTTGAGGTCCAGCTGCTGCAGCAGCTCCCACTTGGTCTCCAGCACCTGGTTCTGCTGCTCCAGGAACCGCACCTGAGACCCAAGTCAACAGAGACTCAGTCCCCGGGAGGAGCTGCCAGTCCCCTCCTGGACAGCAGCTGTGTCTTCTATGCTCCAGCCTTAGCCCTTGGAAATGTCACCCAGGCCTCTCTCCACCCAGAGCTTCTTGTCTCACTCAGGTTCTCCGAGGGACTCCCTCGGGCCCAGCCCTCTCTCCTCATCGCTTGTCTGAATGCCTGGATCAAGGTCCGTGGTCACCCTGGGGCACCTTTCTAGGGAAAGTCCTTAGTGGCCTTCACACCTCTGCTTGGGGACTGGTGGCAGGGCCCCTGCTCTGCCACTCTCCATGTCCTCGGCCATGGCTCCTCCCAACCCCGGCAGGAGCGGGTGCTCAGCTGCGGGGGATGGAGTCTCGGAGTCTTGGGCTGTTTCTATAATCGCTGTACTCTCAGAGCACGTCCTCAGGCAACACCAGCTTCACTCTCAAGTAGCAACCTGCGAACATCCATCCACCCCTTGCTTGAGCCTCTGAGAGTTCCATGTCACCGACAGGGACACGTCCAAATTCCTTCTGGTGTTTTTCACAACGTGTCCAGCAACTCCCCCCCTCATCACCATTCACCCAACCCTTGTGCAAACCCAGGGGCTCCCCGCTCTCCAGACATGTCCTCTCATCCTGCAGGTGACTGCTCCTCCCCAGCTGGCCTTTTCCCACCTCCTCCTGGCAAAATCCTGCTTCACCACCCACCTCACTGCCAGCCCGGGCGTCCTCTGCTCCCTTGTGCTCCGGAAGTCTCTACTTCCCCAGACCCTCCCTCTGCTCTGTTCTCAGACTTGTGGTTCCCAGTGAGTGCCATAGCAGCACCTGGAGGCCTGTGAACACAGCTGCTGGGCCACCGTCAGGCTCCCAAGCCAGGAGGTATGAGGCGGGGCCCAAGAATGTGTGTTTCTAACAAGCGCCCAGGTAACGCTGCAGCTGCTAGCCCAGGGGCTCTCTGGCACCACCATTCCCATTCTCCTTGTAAGCTGATTAGATTCATGAGTCTGTCTTTGGACCAGAGCGTGAGCTGGCCTGGGCCCCATGAGAGGAGGAGCTGGGCCTTGGGACCCTCCAGATGTCCCAGGCCCCCAGGGGCCCCTGCTCTGCTGCCTTCTAGTCTCACGAGCACTGATCTGCTGCTTCCCAACTCTGAAGCCTCACGCCTGCCTCCAGGGGCCTTCACAGACGGGGAACCTCACCCCTGCAGACGGGGAACCTCACCCCTGCCTCCGGGGGCCTTCACAGACTGGGCTCTCCAGCTGCTGCCACCTCTCTGACCCCTCCCCAGCACCCTGTCCAGTTCCCCGCTCTGTTCTAGGCTGTATCTCCATCTAGGGATGCTCGGAGGTGTCCTGCCTGCCTCTGCCTGAACAGGGAGTCCCCAGGAACAGGGGCGGAGGGAGGGACATCTCTACGCTTGGCTTTCTCCAGGAAATCCCACCTTGTCGATGAAGGAGGCGAACTTGTTGTTCAGAGCCTTGATTTGCTCCCGCTCCTGGGCGCGCACTTTCTGGATCTCGGGGTCCAGTTCCACGTTGAGGGGGGCCAGGAGGCTCTTGTTGATGGTGACCTGGTGGATGCCCCCTGGAGGGCACACAGTTGGACACGCAGGTCCCAGGGCCACGCTGCCAAACATGCTGCCCGCAAAGCCGCTGGCCCGGTTTCGGCCAAACCCATAGACGCCTGGCCGCCCGCTGCCACCGGCCACGTTGAGGGAGATGCTCCGGGCACCCCCCAGGCTGTAGAGGCTTCGACTGCCAAAGCCCCCGCTGAGCCCTTTGCCTCCTGCCCGGTAGGAGGACGAGCTGCCCCCCGAGAGCACGGCTGAGCAGCCGCTGAAGCCCCCCTTGGTGGCAGCTCCCGACTTGTAGGCGAATTGGCGGCTCATGCTGGGGATGCCAGAGAGTTGGAGGAAGATGCTAAACCTTAGCTGAGAGGAATTCACCAGTCTACGATCTCGGGCTCCCCCTTTATAGGGCTCAGAGGGAGATACTGCCCTAATTTATGGGTTTAGTTTGCCTGGGAGCAAGAAATCATTTTCTCCCAGCAAAATCAGAGACACCAGGTAAATAACTTGAAAACTCCCAAAGTGCTGGGCTTGCAGACCTTGCTCATGTAATTTGAGTCTTATCTAATAATTAGCCTGGCCAAATTATCCCTAGAAAGATCTCGGCTGGGAGGTTTGTCACAGTCTCAATTGCCCTTCCCCAGGGAGTGGCGAGGAGGTGGAGGGGGGCGGCTGGATTGCGGGGGTGCAGAGGGGAGACCTTTAATTGACAGTGTCATCTGTGAGAGATCTCCCTGCTGTGGCAGCATCAGATGGGCTCCTCCTGGACCCTGGCGGAGCTGCTTTTATGTGGTTAGGAAGCGACTCCATGGACTGGCTTCCCAGGGCTCTTGGAAACTGTTCTCATGGAAGGTCGGAGTCACGCAGACCCCGCAGGAGGGATCCAGACCCACGTCCCACCCAGGCAGGTCAGCTGCTACATCTTTGTTCCTGTACCTTCCCACTGCCCCCACCCTTGACCCTGAAATAATGCAGTTGCCACCATATGATTTCACCCATGTGGGTTATATAAAGAAACAAAACAAAGGAACAAACAAAAACACATCCTCGAAATCTGACTGCGGAAATGAGGTTACCAGAAAGAGAGCATGGGGAGTGGAAACAAAGGGGAAAGGGAACACAACAGGCCGGGGCTGGGGGGGGGGAAATTATGGGGTTTTGGTGGTGGGTGTGGTACGGCAACATACATTTGTAGAGGTGTGAATCTGCACCCCTAAAACATACATAGTGCTGTAAACCAATGTTCCCTCAAAAAACATAAAAAAGATGGTTTCACTTATAGGAGGAATATAGGGAACCAAATAAGACATGGGGGGGGGAGCAAAAAAGAATAATAATGGCAAAACACAACACAACAGAGCCTCCCCAGTGGCACAGCGGTTGAGCCCTGGGTTGCGAAGCTGCCCGCAGCCTCTGCAGCGTCAGTTCGATCCCCGGCCACCGGCGAGGGTCCCACATGATGCACAGACCTCTCCTGCTGCCCGCTGCTCCCCTCAGCAGTGTACTTTGTCAGTCTGCCTGTTTTGTTCCCCGCTCTGGCTCTGGTGAATTCTCTCACCCTCCTGAGCTTCTGATTGTACCCATGCTTGTATAAATAAATAAATAAATCTTTAAAAAACACACACACACACAACACAACAAAACAAAACAAAAACAAACAGACAATTATAAACCAGAGACATCCTGCAGAGGAGGAGGAGGGAGAGGGCTTGGAAGGAGGGAGGAGCACAGAGGACTGTGGTTATGTGCACGGGTGCATTGGTGGAGGAAATTCTATGGGGACTACCTTGAGAGGAAAAAAAGCAAATACTGTTTAAAAGGGAACAATGTTATAAAATATATATAATAACTAAATTTTTTAAAAAAGAAAAAACATAAAAATGATTAAAAATTTAAAGCTAATGTTTCTTGAGTACTAAAAAAAGAAAGAATGGCATTGCTGTCCTCCAGGAGAACAGAACTGGCGCAAACACCTCCCTGCCACAGACGCTCATGCCATCCACTCAGCTGGCCCAGGAGGCGCTGTGATGACGCACAGTCACCAACGGGAAAGCTGAAGACAGCAAACACTCCGTGACTCCCTTCTGTGTGAATCCTCTGGGATCCATGCACAGGCCACCATCCTGAGGGTTCCCTGGACTAGCCTTCCCACCCCGCATCCAGAGCTCTGCAGGTCTTAAGGGTTGGTCCGGCCAGCCTGTTTTTAGCATGCGCGTGCGTTCATCCACCCATCCATTCGTCAGCGCTCTGTCGAGGACTGACTCAGTGACAGGTACAGCACTAGGCTCTGGAGTCATAAATTAATAGGACAGAATTCAAAGGGGAGTAAGGAGGGGGGAGGTCCTTGAATCTCGCAGAGAACCTTGATATTACCAAAGTATGTGACCCAAGAGTTTCACAGTTCCCCAGTCCCAAATACAGCCAGAGTATATCATTTCCTCCATAAAAATGCAATTGTTTTGCTAGCTGTGGTGCTTGAATGAAGTCTGCCAATGCTCTTCTCTAGGCCTGTGTGGAGATTATGGCTGTATTCTGTGTTTGATGCTAAAATATAATATATTAAAATATATTTATATAATAAAATATAATATAATATAAAATGCCTCTGATTCTGTTAAACCAAGCAATTTGCCAATTTAATCTCCCCCCCACTTTTTTTTTTAAATCAAAACTGCTTTGTAGTTAAGAAGAATCATTGTTTAGTCCTATTTTCACCACCATCAGTGGCACTTGGCAATATTTTCTGTCTTTTTTCAATAGACCCAAAGATTGTATCCCTTTGAAATTTCTTCATTAGGCACGATGAGTGAAGACCAACAAAGCTGTGCTGTAATGAGGATGTGAATTTTTAGCCAGAATCACCCCCTCCTGGCTCCTTTCATCACACCAGCACCAGCACCAGCACGAGCATCGATGTGGACGAGCGTGATTCTGACTCTCACATTTTGTCCCTGCTCTCTAAGAAAGATCTGCTTTATCATACCCTGCTTGTGGTTCCCTGCCAGAAGGAGCCTTAGACTTGTGGCAAGCCTTCTTGCTTGAGTGGCCCTGCTTCCAGCCGACCCATGTATCCATGAGGGCATTTGTCTATGAGGGGATGGGGAATTTGGGAAATTTTAGTGGGAAACTGTTACGAATACCCTTCTCTTCTCTCTGTGCACACTAATTCTACTAACGTTCTTTCACACTAAGTGTGGACTTTGCCATTGGCTTTGCCTTTGTGCACACAGATGTCCAGATCCCATTACACCGTGAAAGTTTGGGGGTCCCTGGGTACCCCCTTGGTCATATGATAACAGTATTGCGTTAGAGGTTCAATGTATATTTTTGGAGGGCATAAGTCAACCTATAACAGACATCAAAATCTTATGCAATGAAAGGAAAAGTAGGTAACTGCCCTCCAATTAATTTTTGACATAGGGCTCAAGGAAGGAAGGTAGACTTTCAACAAATATGCTGGAGCAATTGCACGCCCATAGCCAAAATACAAACAAAAAATCCTCAACCTAAATTTTATACTTTATACAAAAATTAACTTAAAATGGATCACATCCTTAAGCATAGAATGTAAACTAAAAGCCATTTCAATCTTTAGGAGCTAGTGTAAGATAAAGAGCTCTCTGGGTTAATATTGGAAGTATGACTCATAAAAGGAAAAATCAATAAATTGGATTTTATCAAAATAAAAAAAAATTGTTCTCAAGAAAATTTCCATAAAAAAATTTAAAGATCCCATTAAGATGATAAGAAGACCAGCTACAAGCGGTTGAAAAGCTGCCCATCCCCGGCTAAAGAGCTTCTGACTGTAGTGCACTAAATAAAGATGCCTCTATTAAAAAAAAAAAAAAAAAAAAAGAAGACCAGCTACAGACTGAGAGAAATTATCTGCAAGCCATATCTCCAACAAAGGATTAGCATCTAGAATATATAACGAACTCTCAAAATTCAACAATAAAGGAATAAGCAATCTCATTAGAAAATGAGCAAAAATCACAGAGACTTTTTTTGAAGGGGACATACAAATGGCAACTAGGCACAAGAAAAGATTTTCACATAATTAGCCATTAACAAAATATAAATTTAAACCACAGTAAGTTATCTCTGTACATCCATCAGAAGACTAAAATAAAATGTCATGATAACACCAGATGCTGCAAGGATTCGGAGACACTGGATCGCTCAAACATTGCTAGTGAGGATGAAAAATGGTCCAGCCACTCTGGAAAACAGCTTGGCAATTTTTAAAAAATACTGTATACCCCAGTCTGACATTTATCCAAGAGAAATGAAATCTGATGTTCACACAAAAACCTGTACACAAAGGTTTATAGCCATTTTATTCATGATATCTATAAAATGTAAACAATTCAGATGCCCTTTAATTGGCCACAAAATGTGGTAAATCCATACCATGGAGAACTCAGCAATGAAAAAGAACAAAGTATTGACATATGCCACCACCTGCATGACTTACGCTGAAAGTATGATCACACAGATTCCATATTATACAATTGTGTTTAGATGACATTCCTGAGATATACAAGTGGGGGGAAGGAGGAGTTGCCTTAGGAGGGAAGGGGGTGTGTCCATACAAGGATGGCGGGAGGGATTCTGCGGTAATGGAAATGTCCTTTATCTTAACTCTGTCAATGTCAGTATCTAGATTGTGAGATTGTATTTAGTCTTGCAACATTTACTATGCACTTGCTATGTGCCAGGTACTGTTCTGAGCACATTAATCTTCAAAATAACCCTATCAAATAGGTATGATTAACAAATTACAGATTAGGTAACTGCGCACAGAAAGGTTAAGTCACTTGGACAAGGTCACACAGCCAGGAGTCAGGAACAGAAGGCAGGCCAGCCCCTGTAGCGCCCATGCTCTTAACCACTACTGCCTGGAATCTTTTTCAAATAATCCATTTCCCTCACCTTGACTCAAAAGGTCTAGGGCAGGGCCTGAACTTGTAGAGTTTCTTGTTAATAAGCTCACTCACACCCTTTCTCAGGGTCTCTGCCTTCTGGGGGCACCGTAGGGAACAGCGTATGATTTCAGTTCACATTCCCTTGTCCAGAACCTGGTTTTTCATGGTCCCAATTATTTGCAAAGATATGGAAATGTAATTTTAGGTGTGCTTATCTCCAATTTCTATTTCTGTAGGAGAGGGGGAGTAGGGGGCATCTGGACAGGCAGCAGGCTCGGGCAAAGTCTGCTAGACAAGCACTCTCAGCCTGTACCACCGCACTGTTTAAAACTGCAGTGCAAAGCGTGTTAGGTAATGCAGCACCAGCAAGACCAGCCTTCCTGGTTTGCAGGACACTCAGTGTGTCCTTAGGATCTGGTGCTTTCCATT